TCGAGGAAAGAATACAAATAGGTTATCATCCGATTTGCAGTACCATGTTTTCATAACGAGGTGGAGAAAATGAAGAAATGCATATTGGATGAACATATTAGAGCCATCAAAATGACTCAATTCGACCATTTTCTGGACTGCCCAAAGATAAGGTTGTAGTGGCACTGCCTGCTTGCCTTGATTAATAACTTTAGCCCGGAGCCCACGTCATTCAACATCGGAGTTGACATTATGGAAACAACATGATATTATTTTTACCATTTGTTCCCACATGTTAGCATCACCACATAGCTCATTCCATTACCAACATGCTTGCAAATACATATATATACATGTAATATTAACGTATATAACTTTATAATAGCAATGTAGTTGTGTGGGATGTAGAAATTTGATGTTTAGTTGTGCTATATAGGTAATGGTTGTACTTAGCAACAACAACAGGTTTTAATCAGCTATTAGAATTCCAAATGATTACCCAATAATAGAATTCAAATACCATGGAAATAACATGATATTATATTTATCATTCGTTCTTACAGAGTTGCATCATCAAATACCTCAGTACATTATTAATATACCTGCAGAATATATTTACAAACATCTACTATTTCATTATATACTTGTGTAATAGAGTTACATACCACTTACTACAATAAAATATACCAGCAGATCCAACCGGTTATATCCTATTGACGCATAAAGTAATTATATTACACCCATTAAATAACGTTACATGTTTTGTAATCACGCTATTGAAAAATATGGCATAAGCTGTTGAATGTAAATGTATCATGCCCAAACCTTTCCACCAAGTATATATGCCCTGGTAACTTTTGTTTCAGAAACCGACCGTTCTTTGTTTGAAACATTCAATTATTGTCGGTAATCAGGGATGAATGTATCATTATAGTATTCCCGTGAATCCCAGAAATCTACGTAATGAGTAAACAATACATATTTACCGTAGATGACTGAACAAGTCATAAAGGACTTAGTTAAACTATGTTGGTTGTTACTTGTACATGCTTTATTGTTTTGCCATTGAACAGTGTGGGCATGTGCTGTTGAATGTAAACGTACTATGCCCAAATTTTTCCATCGGGGTTGGGAGAAGAAGTACTCACACCGAGTTCGTGAATTGGCCATTCCATAAGAGGATCAACTGCAATCAAACACATTCATGGATACTTGCTACTACACAGATAATACCTAAGCAACCATTATTTATACCTTAAATGTCGGTGTTTGTACCCGGAGCACATACTAACATACCTGAATCAAATACCGATATGCCCTAGCGCAGATCTTACGTAACGATAAAGTTGGTATCACATGCTTCAATATCGGGTATATATACCCTAGTAACTTGTGCTTAGGTAACCAACCATTTTCGGTTAAAAATATTCACTTATTGTCGGTAATCATGGATGTATTCATTGTAATAGTATTTCCATAACACTCTGAATTATATAAAGAGATAAACAACATATTTACTATAGATGACTAAACAAGTAAAAAATGACTTAATTATATTGTATGATATATGTAGAATTATACTCTAACCTCCACTTATAGATGGCTAAACAAGTTATAAATGACTAAATTAAATTATATTAGTTGTTAGAATATATAATTTATGTCACGAATTGAAAATCTTTAGACTCATTACATAGTAATCTGCATCGTAGCACACACAACAATATTTAAGTGAACACGCTAGTCGTAATCTACTATTAGGACTTCAAGTGTTTTTGGCATAATAGGACAAACACATCTTGTCTAAAATATTTTGACTCATGACATAATAATCCAAACTACTGCACACTTATAAACTCAATATCAATTAGCCAGAAACATTTCAAAGAAGTATAACTTGGTTGAGCTGGTAAGTACTTCAGCATGGCTCCGATGTACCCCCTATAGATTTTAATGTACCAATTCTTATCAAATTATGTACCCGGGCTCTGCTTTCATGTAAATAAAAAATATAACATTATGACATAAGTGGGTAATTGTGTACCTGCATACTTTAAATAAATGCCCGAAATGTATGAAATGGTAATCAACACATATTTACTATAGATTGTTAAACAAGTAATGAGTTACTAGGGTAAGTTATGTTGATTGTTACTCATATACCACTGTTCCCATGGATTGATTGGTTATTAAGACCTATTACCCATTAATACACACCGTAGCACACAAAATAATCTTTGGTCTACAAAGGTAGAGAGAGGAAGTACTCTCACCGAGTTCGCGCATTGGACCCTCTGCATGGGATTGACTAAAATAAACTACATTTGAAGATACCTGGTACTACAAATCTAACGCCTATGAAATCATTATTTATATCTCTTATATCGAGGTTTATACTCGGCTCACATGGTTACATACCAGAATCATAAATGTAGATACCCTATATAAGATATTACGTACCTACAATAACAATCAAATATACTTCAGTTACGATTACATATGCTCTGGTAACCTATAGCTGGAGAACATGCATTTTTGCTTAAAATATTCACTAAATGACAGTAACCATGAATGAATTCAACCATGGTAGTATTTCTCGTAACACCCCAAAGTGTATGGAAATATAAACAATACATATTTACTATTAATGGTTAAGCAAATCATAAATAATTAGTTAATTTGTACGATAATATTCCAACATTCACTTGTAAATGACTAAACAAGTCATGAGTAAGTAAATTAAATTATGTTGGTTGTTAGTATAAATGACTGATGTCATAAATTGAAATTCATTAGAGTTATTACGATTAATCCACATTGTTTCATACACAACAACATTTAGTGAAGAACATACTTGTATAGCGCATGACTCAACTAGATAGGAAAATGCTCCAGAGCGGGCCTTCCATACCCCCAAACTCCCATGGTGTACAAAATCCTAGTAATTGTGTACCTTCTGTAGTCTAACGTGTAACTGAACAACGTAATCTTATGGCAAGGTTTTCGAATTGTGTACCTTCATAGCTCCATTTAATGCCTGTAAGGATTTAGCATATAACCTTCATAGATTCCGAAACAGATTAAGACTTAATCCTCATTTGTATGTTTCTAACGGATGTGACATGATCAACACAGTATGTTCGTGTACTTTATGTCACTGCCATTATTAATTATCAAGACCACACTGATATTGTTGGGACAGTAATACGCTACCACCAGATGTGCTTCGATAGATCAACTAAATACTCCTCCAGATAATTCGTGTGTCTCTATTCATTTATTTGAAACCTTGTGTCATTGAATTATCATACATAAAGGAGAACTGTCACATACCCGTTGTTCATGTTCATATACTATCAGAATATCCAAATTACAACAACAGTTATATTCTTGCTATTGTATATTTACCTTCCACATTACATTTTTATCAATTATGTCAAATGTAATTACACACCAAAAAGGACATTTAGAACAAAAACAAAAATTACACTTCAAAAGGCCTACGGTACCGCAGCTTTACAATTTCTTTTGTCGTGCCCGAGACGACCACAACGTCCACATTTTCGTGACTATTTTATTTGCTGCGAGTCATAGCATCATTTTTTCGATTCATATTACAATATGTCTTCTCCTTTGAAAAAATATCATGGATAACTCTGTCGAGCTACATCTCGATGTCTTCTCAACATTCTGCCAACTCATTGCCTTTCAATCCCTCTGCGCCTAGCCGTGTCTCCCCACCGCTGCATAAACATTAGGAAGATAACACATACATCTCATTATTCCGTTCCAATGTCACAACACCCGCTCCGCCACCACCTCCATGTCGCCACAACACCCGCTCATCAATGCCCTCCAACTCGCCGCCTTCTCCGACCTCAATGGCATCATTTGAATCAATTTTTTTCCCTATCCGACAAGCCCCACCCGGCTTAAAAAAATTGACAATGCATCCAAAATGCTCGATCCTGGGCACGACGCCATACACATTTCGCAAAGTCCTCACCAAATCCAATCATTTAATCGTCATATCCAAATAAACACATGCCACGAGAGAAAAAGTAAACGTCACCTGATCGAGATGAATTCCCGAGTCCTCCATCCTCGAAAACAAATTGACATCCTCTTTTTCCTGCAACATTTGTTGCAAGCCCGGAGATCATAGCGTTCCGTGTTATTATATCTCGTTCAGGCATTTCGTCGAACATCTTCTCAGCAGAACAATCGCTTGAAAAACCAAATATTCACAAATAGATTTTGAATATATTTACAGATGGATATGTTTAAAAGTTTGTTAAATGTGAGTAAGCATCATCGAGCAGGGCATTATAATTTTCCACAAAATACCCTGATTTTACCCATAATCGATATATAGTTACTAACCTAAAAAAAAATTGAGGTTTGTCGATTTGAGCGCGGAGCAATGGGTGTTCGAGATCGACAACCGGCGAATGAATAAGTGATGAAGATCAAAAGAGTGTGAGCGACCAGCACGGCGGGTTCAATTTTGTAGTTGCCGGTGTTTCTTCGTGGATTTTGCGATCGAAAAATAATTACAGAGGTTTCTTTTTCGTTGGGTGGGGAAGAAGGGTGAAAAGGGAGGAAAAAATAAATAATATGAAAAAGGAGGGAGTGCAGCCCAAGTTTTATCAAATAGGGACTGAATGTAAATAATTTTTGGCAAATAAGAATTTAAATCCAATTCTACCTTAATTTTATCCCTATTTTATTATTTATTATCCCAATAGATTTTAATTTAAGCGAATATTTGTTATTATAACGAATTCAAATTTAAAATTAAAAAAATAAAAAAAACAATTCTAAATTATGGAATGCGTACGCCAATAGTTAATTAGAGTGAGGTGCTACGTGTAAGTCGCTGAGGTCATGTAGCTAACACACCGCCAATAAAAGGCACGAGATTACACCACATACCTACACACGCATGCACCCGATAACTCTCCCCTTCCCTCCTACCCTCATATCATCATTATATGCCCAAAAATCATACGTGTATATATTTGTACAGTATATATATATATATAGCAAAAGCAGATTCGTACACAGTTTCCGCTTCAAAAGGCAGCAATCTTCGTCCTCACCGTCGTCGCCACTGCTTCAGAGAATCCACAAAAGCTAGCTAGGAAGAACGATATTAATGTCGTCTTCGGTGATTGAGTACGCTTCGCAAAGGAGTAGCAGCAGCAAGAACAACAGTGAAAGTGGAGATGATCCGATCGATTTGTTCGGCGGAGGCTGCGATCTGATAGCTTCCGACCTTTGGCTCACTGCTGATGCTTTTATGAAGGCTGCTGTCTCTCTCAAAGACCAGGTTTGTGTTCAAATTGATGCTTGCATTTGTTTCGAATTTCAATGCTCATTGGAGTGGATTATTGGCTTTTTACTTTGCAGTTCGCTCCGTAATTTGATTTTCTAGTTCAAAATTTCTCACTAACGGTTTAGGTGGTGGAGATGACTTGGGGAAGACGAGAAAGCAACGTGAGCTTGGATTCGACGGTTTATACTGGTCTGATGGGGACGGCTTTTACGTGCTTGCGGTCTTACCAAGCCACGGGAAACCTCAGCGACTTGCGTTTATGCAATGAAATTGTGGACGCTTGCTCCACCGCTGCTCGTACCTCCACCAGGTGACGTCAATTTCTTATATTCAGAGCACTAGCAGAGGGTAGATTATGCAAATTTCTGCTGTTACACTTACATAATGTTAATTGAATTTGAATCCATCTTAATATGTGGAGATGTTTTTAGTCGGCGTCTTTTGGTTCTTGTCAATCATTTTAGTTGCAAATATTGGGAAAATCTTTATCGAAGAAAGAGAAATCCCTAGTTCCATGGTTTACATCATATTTCCCTCTCTGTTGTTCATATTTCCCCTAAGCCGTTGTGAATAAATCAATTGCTAACAAGTTAACTGAACACGAAACCTGGAATTCATGTCTTTCAGAATGTACTATCGATAAACTAGGTTTATACATCATGGTTTGTATTTGCGAACCTTCCACAATGCTCCTACATTACATTCTGTTCCAACTTCTTTGAGCTTTTTCTTGGTGTGTGTTTGTACACAGACATACTACATTCCTTTGCGGTAGAGGAGGTGTTTATGCCATCGGTGCTATTGCTGCAAATTACTCTGGAGATCTAAAGAAGCGCGATGTGTTTTTGGACTGCTTTATGGAGGTAGGCCTCCTTATTTTGTTTTTGAGATATAAGTCCTTTGTTGTATTTTATTCTTTCATTCATGCTCCCTTATTGCACTAGTTAGGTAAGTCGAAGTTAAAAGCGCAAAATGTGCGCAGTTCCTCCCATGTCAAGTGACAAATTGACAGCTGCAAAATTAAATAAAATAGACATACTTTTGCATAGAGTAATATAATTAGGCTAGGGTCGTCTCTTTAGAAAAACTCAAAAGATATTTATAGAAATTAAATAGTAAAGGAGGGGGTTTTGGGAGAAAGTAAAATAAAAAAATAAAATAAAATTAGCAAATTAAAAATCTATGAAAAATTCTACTGTTGAATTTCAATAAAAATGAACTCCTAGTCTATGAATGAAATTGACAACTTAGTTGTATTTATTGATATGTACCTATTAATCAACCTTTCTTTAATTTTTCGATAATCAAGATAGGCACGGTTTTTCTAATTAGACTAGAACCGTGATGCCATCAAGAAGTTACAGGCCTAACCACTTGCGAACTAGAATAGCCTAATGCAATTTAATATTTACTCATGCTAATCATTTAAAATTGATTACATGATTTTCTAATTGTGCCAAATTAATACGTAATTACATTATAGACGTCTAATTTAGTTTATCAGTCAATCTTTAATTCAATTGAAATATCCGTCAAAATATACAACTAAATTGAAGATTATAAAACATAGAAATTAGAAATTACAAAAATAGTTAGGAATAAAAAAAAAAAAACATCATAAATCGAAGCGAAGCTAATCTACAAATTCATACCAAGTTGTTTTTCATTAGCAAAGAAAGATATGCTCATTAATCCCAGCAGAGAAAACAAAATAAAGAAAATAAACATCGCATAAGAATATTCGATCGGTAGGAATAGAAATCAAAATCTTATTGAATCTTTTTTTTCCTACACCATCTTTCTCCCGAACTGTTATGTATTGTATTTTCTTGTTTTCTCTCGTTGGCCCTCCTCTTTTATATCCAATAAAAAATATATATATATTTTTAAATCTTTATGCGTATCTTATAACAGCTTTTTTCAATTTTTTTAAATTTGACTTTTGCCCCAAGAATTAAATTATAAGCTTTCAATATTTTGATACTTTTGTCCTCTTTTACAATAAAAAATAACATTTGAAGTAGAATTTATTGTCAAAACAAATATTAAAACCCAATAATATATACAAATAAATTCTACTAAAATGTGTCTGACAAATACTTTCACTATATATTCCTCCTGTTCTTGAAAGAAAAGTTAACTAAAATGACCAGGAAGTTCACTTTACAAAATTATTCCAACCATGTACTCTACATTTTCATAGATCACACTAATTTCCATAAATGAATCATCTTTTAGATGGCACAAGAGAGAGCCCTTCCTTCAGGACCCGAAGAAGGTGGCTTTGGGATGTCATACGATCTCCTCTACGGTCGAGCAGGATTTCTATGGGCTGCATTGTTCATCAATAAACATTTGCAAGTTCAAGCAATACCAAATGATCTTCTCATGCCAATTGTCGAGGCGGTTCTGGCCGGGGGCAGAGCCGGCGCTCCCGACAACACAGCCTGTCCGCATATGTACAGATGGCATGGAACTAGGTACTGGGGTGCAGCCCATGGCCTTGCTGGAGTGATACATGTCCTGCTTCACTTTCCCCTGTGCGAGACAGATACTGACGATGTGAAAGCGACGTTGAGGTACATGATGCGCAACAGGTTCGCCCACACCGGAAACTATCCGGTTAGCGAAGGGAACCCGAGGGATACACTAGTCCAGTGGTCTCATGGGGCTACCGGAATAGCACTCACCCTGTGCAAGGCAGCTGAGGTTTGTGCTAATTTTGCAAGATATATAAATTGTTGGAATATGAAATTTAAATTTTTTGTTTCAATCATAAAGATTTGTACATATTCATAATGACGTACAAATCATCTAGATAAGACAAGAATTCTACAAATATCTTGAATAAGATAACTATCATACTATCATAAATATAATACTCCCTCCATCCTATTGAAAGGGTAGCTTTTACTTTTTGTTCGTAGATCTTTAAATATTAGTATTATATTAGATTGTAGTTACCATTTTGTGTAATATATTGCAAGTTGGGGGATATTTATTATGTTAGGTAGGTAGTACAATTATTAAATTATGAAATGATAACCTTGTTTTGGGACGGACAAAAATGGAACATTGGGATTTTGTAGTAGATTAAGAAATAATAGTGTATTTTATTAGTCAGTGGAAGTGTGCAAGAGCTTTTATATTTTTGGCCTTTGACTTTATGTATAAAGTAATTGTATGTGTTACAGTATATTTGTAATTTAAGTAAAAGTTAAGGGTATTTCAGCATTAGTGTATGATTATTTTTTCTAAAATAAAAAAATGGATACATTGAAATAGGACGGACAAAAATGGTAAAAGAAATACTTTGAATTGGGACGGAGGGAGTATATTTTAACATAAATGTATCTAATGTAATTACTTCTCAGCGTTTTCTTCATTTCTCAGGTACTTGTTCCAAATGAAAGGGAGTTTCGGAGTGCAGCCATTGAAGCAGGAGAAGTTGTGTGGCGGCGTGGCATGGGGAAGAAGATGGGATTAGCTGACGGCATTGCCGGCAATGCCTTTGCATTCTTGTCCCTTCTCCGCCTGACGGGAGAGGCAGTATACGAAGAACGGGCTAAAACATTTTCGAGCTACCTGTATGATACTGTCCGAAAGAGTGGTGCTGGTAATGGGACTAACCATAGTTTTTCTCTTTTCGAAGGTCTAGCCGGAGCTTCTTGTCTTTGGTTCGATCTGGTGCGCCCTCAGGAATCCCGGTTTCCCGGCTATGAAATCTAAAGCCAGCCGGGTATGTCGTGAACTAATTAATAAGTATTGCAGCTTTAGAGTCTCATGGTTAAACCTGAAGATCTCTTTGTGATATATTTGCTTAGAGAGTTTTTATTAGAGCTAATTATGGTGTTGGATTAATATGTAGTAATTTTAATTTTAAATCAGAAATATATAATATGTAGTACTTATTACTTATTAGGGGTCTTAGAAAATATTCATATCCAAAAAAAATGATCTGATATGGTATGACCTTTTTAGAAATTTCGGATAGTTCGGATATACAATTTTTATTTTAAAGTTAAATTTATAATGAGTTTTAAACAAAGAATTTTTGAATTATTGCCACATTTAAAAAAAAAAACTTCATCAGTCATTAAATTTTGTTCATATTCTTTAATTACAGAGAGAATGAGTAATAAATGTGAACAAAATTTGATGACAAGGGTAGAATATATTTTCATATATTATTTTTACTTATTTTTCCACTAAAAAGATATACTACTACAAATATAATACAATTAAATTTAATTTAACTTGAAACATAGCATTATTGAATGAGTGTTCAAATATATTAAGTTGTATGAATAAACAGGGAGAATGGATGTTAGAAAAAGAAATAAACATACAGTACATGCATGTTCAATCTGTTTATGAGTTGTTATGGTGTTAATTTATAATACATACATATTTTTAATTTATGAATAAGTTCAACTTCCCTTATTGAATAGACATGTTTCAAGTGCAATACAAACATAGATGTTGATGTTGCGGAGCTAAATATTTTATTTTGGTTAATGTAATTTGTATGAAATTATTAACTATAAGTTTTAAGACATTTTTAATAATTTTATTTTTTATTTTTATTTTTCGAATGACCTGCTGATCCGATCCGAAAATTCAAATATCCGGAACATTATATATCTGAGAATCTTTATATATTCGAAAAATCAAATCGAATCGGATGGGTATATCCATATATTCCAATGAACATCCTTACTTTTTATACATATATTTTTTGTGACCTTGAGGTCACGGGATCTTACCTTATCGGATTAGTGTGCATACTATTAGGTTTGGTTAATAGTTTATTCAGTGCGGTCACGGGATCTTACCTTATCGAATTAGTGTGCATACTATTAGGTTTGGTCAATAGTTTATTCAGTGCGTCCTTATCGACTAACGACCCTAGATTTTCAAGTTATATATATATATATATATGTAAACTCAAAATAGAAAAAAAAAAAAAATGGTAAAACTAATGCATTGCAATACACTACATATTTACCAGTTCATTACCTATGTATTTCATTACCTATGTATTATTAGTAAGTCAAATTTGTATAAATGACAGGCTTGTTTGGTCCAGTATGAATTTTTCACAAAAAATTTATATTATTACTTAACATGATTGTCTTTACTTTATAATATTAGTAAGTCAAATTTGTATAACAACATGATTGTCATTACCTATGTGTATGTATATATATTCTGAGATATTATTTATTTAAGTATACAAATGCATATCAGTAGTAAAAAAAATCATATTCTATGTTCAAATTTTAAGTTTTTATAATTAAAGTACACGTATATTATATACATTGTGTAAGTATATATAATTTATTGTTTTAATAATATTAATAAGAAATGTGTATATATATGTTTTTGTTAGCTCAACAACATTTTACATCACATCATTTATTTTTTTTTTTATGAAGGGTGTGTTCGGTTGAAGGTTTTTATCCAAATTTTACTATTCATCCAAAAATTTCTCCCAAAAAACATCAAATCAAATACCTATTTTTTATTTTTTATATTATACTAAAAATCAATTTTACATCCAAAACATCACATCAATACCTGTTGTTTATATCGCATCGTACAACTATTCAAATTCAAAACTTTTACTATTTAAATCCCAATTCAAAATCCAAACCCCCAAACAAACACACCCTGTATACTACGTACAAAAAAAAGTTTCTATTCAATAGTATATCAATTCAAATATTCCATCATATTTTATCTTAATTTACATATTTTTTTATTTTTGTTTATTCATAACAATTGTCACGTTTTTATTTGGATAAAATTTACTAAATCAAAACATACTTAATAAATATATATCAATTTAATTAATTAAATAATATATAACAATTATAACTTTATTCAAAACTTCTTTATTTCTATCTATTTCCTAAAAAGTAAATATTTTTAACTATATTTAAAACTTTATATTTTTTTATAAAATTAATTTATATTAATTATAAATAAATAAACTATTTTTATTTATTTATTTATATTATAAAAAAATTTACTCTACAAAATGTATTAAATGCATATAATTTTTAAAATATTTAAATATATATTTTATTTTTTTATTTATATATATTAAATTTATTTTAAAATAATCAATATTATTAATTACATAAAAAAATAATAAAATAGAATTATACATAACTATTATTAATTAATTAAAAATTATTGTTTTAAATATCATTGTCAATTTAGTACGAACGAAGAGTATTTATTTATATCGCTAGTTAATTAGTTAAATAATTTTGAGTTTCTTATTTGTACTATTTGAATATTTTGAATTAAATTTAATATGATATAAATAAATATTACTCTCTCCGTCTCGGATGTTTTGTTCGTTTTATGTAAGCACGAGAATTTAGGAGGGATATAATTAGTAAATAAGTAAAAATGTATTACTGAAAATAATTATCGTATAATAAAAATAATTATAAATTAAAATTAAGATAATGATTAGTATAATTAAAATTAAAAAAAATTATAAATTAAATTTTTTAAAATAAAATTAAAGTATATAATTTTTTTTTCAAAAAGAAGAAAAATAACAAAATAAATGGGACGGACGCAAAATAAAAAAAATGGACATGTGGGATGGATGGAGTAATTTAATATTATATATATATATATTTTAATTTAATATAATATAAAACATAAAAAAACTCTACATTGCAAATACGGCCTAATTACAACTCAACAAATAGAGAATCGCACCGGGGCCCAAAACGGCCCAAATCAGAAGTCTTTTGGATCATTTGAATTGTTAAGCCCACATAGTCAAGAGTCATATAAATACCAACACTTTCCTAGGGTTTGAGCGTTCCAGAGATTTTCTTCCGTATCGTTGCTGCTGTTCTCTTGCACCTCCGGCTCCTAACATTTTGTTAGGCTCTGCAAGATGAAGGTCTTCTTCTCTCTTTTCTTTCCTCTATTTCTTTTTGGAGTACATATATTATTGATTTTTACTGTCAGCAATCGAATTTTACTGAGATACTTTGCTTGTATTGAATGCAGTTCAACATAGCGAATCCGACTACTGGTTGTCAGAAGAAGCTTGAAATCGATGACGACCAGAAACTGTATGTTAAATAGTTATTTGCAGTGTATTGCTTTGCGGATTTTCTTTGTTTCTTTTTTTGTTTTTTTGTAAAAAGATTGCCTGTTGTGTCGTGTAGATCAATCCTTTGTTGGGTTTGCTTATGTTTTTAAACTCTTTTTTCACGTTATCTGTACTATTTTCCCACCATGTCAGTTTTTATGTTAATTTTTAAAAGGTACATTTTCTTAAGTTGTGTATTCAGTGACCTCTAGGACTATGCTTTCTATTGATTCTTGTATATGGCTTGGCAAAGCTTATGTTTTTATGTTGTGTGATGAGAAATGGTGTTGTTCCATGCTATTACAGACTTGATCCAGTATCTATTTCCCATGGAGTTGAAGTTTTTTACAACTTTTAATTTGCTTTTAGTGATGGGATGTGAATGATCGGTATAATATCTGAAGGACTTCAAATCTACTTAATTTGTATTAAGAAAAGTGAATGCAGTTTTGGTCAATTTTGAATGTTAAATGTATGTAAATGTTGGTTATTCTACCTTTAGCAGAAGACACATGTTTATGTCTATAATGTCTTTCTACAAGAGTTTGTGAATATAATCTTGAATGTGCTTTTGATAAATTCTTAGGTTTGTCTACCTTGTTTATTTATATATTTTTTATGTTAAGTGTTGCAATATCTCTTTTGAACATTTGATTACAAAAGATATACACTACGTCCCTCCTAATAAAATTTTGATGATGATTTACTGGATCTTGAATGTTTATGGAGCCCGAACATAAGGACCTTGTTATTACTAAATATGAGATCCCTTAGTTCGCAATGTGAGCAGTTCATACTTATTTGGAATGTTGGGTTAGTAATTTCGATAGTCACTGATTAATGCTCTTGCAGTCATCTCTTCATTCAGTAACTTAACCTTCTTAAGATATGGAACAGTAGGCTAGTTATTGTGCACTTTAAAATTCCGACTCAGGTTTATGTAACACATAGGCCTGTGGGGTGCTAATTGCTACATCTCTGTACCTAGAGATGGTATTTCTTTGTATCATTTATTATTGATTGTGCTCGTACAACTGAAGAAATTATCTTGGTTCCACTGCCATGATTTGCGGAGGTTCAACTGATTCACTTTTGTTTATGCTATATGAAGAGTGTGTGTGTCCTAATCCAATCAAGGCTTGTGCCTTTAGCCACCTTAGTCATCTGCACACCACTCAATTATTCTTGCTTGGGGCATTTACGAGCTATGATTATGTAAACTAGTTCTTGTCTTGTCATGTTTGTTACAACTGATGGTTAATGAGTTCTTCTGATGTCTCTGCTCCTTTATCTGTACAATTGCAGTCGGGCCTTTTTTGACAAAAGAATTTCCCAGGAAGTTAATGGAGACGCACTGGGTGATGTATGCAATTTTCTTCCATAAGAATTTGATTCCACCATTTTTTTTCCAATAATAGTAAGCAACATTTACTAATATACTGGAAATCGAACTCCAGGAGTTCAAGGGATATGTCTTCAAGATTATGGGAGGGTGCGACAAACAAGGTTTCCCCATGAAGCAGGGTGTTCTGACCCCAGGTCGTGTTAGGCTCCTGCTGCACAGAGGTATGTGAACTTGTCTCTGCAAACTTTCGTAGACAAGAACCTAATTAGCTCCATTTGTAACATGACTACCTGTTTAAACAGGTACCCCGTGCTTCCGTGGATACGGCAGGAGAAATGGGGAACGCAGAAGAAAGTCAGTTCGTGGATGCATTGTGAGCCAGGACCTCTCTGTTCTAAACTTGGTAATAGTGAAGAAAGGCGAAAGTGATCTTCCTGGACTTACTGACACTGAGAAGCCAAGAATGAGAGGCCCAAAAAGGGCTTCGAAAATCCGGAAGCTTTTCAACCTTTCCAAGGAAGATGATGTGAGGAAGTACGTCAACACATACCGCCGAGCATTCACCACTAAATCTGGTATTTTCTGCTACAAGCTCTATCAAATATTTCCCACATGTATGTCTCCTTTTTCTTGACATGCCGTTCTCGACGATATTAAACAGGCAAGAAAGTGAGCAAAGCTCCCAAGATTCAGAGGCTGGTGACTCCCTTGACACTGCAGAGGAAGAGGGCCAGAATTTCCGAGAAAAAGAAGAGGGTCGCCAAGTCAAAGGCTGATGCTGCCGAGTATCAGAAGCTTCTTGCTATGCGATTGAAGGAGCAGCGCGAGAAGCGCAGCGAGAGCTTGGCGAAGAAGAGGTCCAGACTCTCCCAAGCCTCGAAGCCGTCTGTTGCTGCGTAATGCGGAAGGTATGTTTGCTGTTCGTTTTGAACAATGATTTTTGGATTGCTGTTATGCTATATTAGTTAATTAATGAGCTCGACAAACAGACATACAACACCAAATGCATGTTTTGTGTTTTGTTTATTTTCTTGCTGTCTGAACATTGTTTGTTATGTTTACCCTTTAATATGGTAGTACTTGTTTTCTGGCAATAACTTCGCTTGTAGTAGTAGTAGTAACTCTGTGCCTTTGTGTTAAAGCTTTTGGAAGTCCACCACCGGGGTTATTCTTGTCCTTTTACATGGTTAGGCTCTTTGTTCACAACCGTCCAATTACGCCATTTTTTTAAAAGTAAGAATTTACCAATTTTAATTACATTAAATCTTTTTTTTTTAAGTAGGAATTAACCAATTAAAATTTAGGGAAAAAATTAATTTTAGTCTCAATATAATTCGATTTATCGATTTTGGTTCCAACATTAAAAATTATTAATTTTAGTTTTAATATAAATAATTTTAATCAATTTTAATTTTATTATAAATAATTTTAGTGTATAATTCTACACGGTCTAAAAAAAATTGAATTTAGATAGTTGATGTAATTAAAACGAAAAAAAAAAATAGTTAAAATGTATTAATTTTAGTTCAAATATAAATATTTATCAAGTATGTTCTTTTGGACGATTTTGTCTAGAATTTTACTATTTATAAAAAAAAAAAAATTTTTTTACAAACTTCCAATTAATATATTGAAATAATAAATTAATTTTTAATACTATTATAATATACAAAATTAAAAAATAGTTGTGTAATTGAATATTTATAAGAAGATTTTTTATTTATTTATTTTATTTTTTTTTATGAATAATAGAATTTTAGATAAAATATTTCAAAAGAATATATCTTATACATTTTTATATTTGAATTAAAATTGATAAATTTTAATTATATTATGATTATTATTGATTTTGTCTATTTTAACTATATCAATTATTTTAAATTTAACATATTTTTTTTAAAAAAATATATAACAAAAAAATAAAATTTAGACTAAAACAGAAATGTATATGGTCGTGTAAAATTATACATGACCATGTATAATTATACACTGAAATATACATGGTCGTGTAAGAACATGGTCGTGTATTTTCCAGGTCAACTGCCACGTCACCTCCGTTATATCCACGTTAGCGATTTTTGTTAGTTTTTTAAGGGTGGAACCAAAATTGATTGAAATTGTTTATAATTGGACCAAAATTGATTGAAATTGTTTAGGCCATCTCCAACCCTCCACTCTATTTTTGCAATTGCTACAGTTGATCTACAATAATTTTACTCTAACCATAAATTTCAATTTTTACTCTAAAAAGTATATTCCCTATATATTCCTCTTTTATATTATTTTATATAATTTTTTATATTTATAAATTACACCCAACTTTAATTTATTTTTACATTAGATCCATACACATATTATTTATATTACTTTTCAACAGTAAAATTATATATCAATTTAGAAAATAAAATTTTACATTATTTTTTTTAAAAAAAATAAAATTATAAAATTATATTACTTTCAAAAAACTAAAATTATCACTTTTAAAAAATAAAATTATACATTATTTTTCAAAAAAAATAAAATTACATACAACTTTTTAAAATATAAAATTATATATCATCTATAAAAAATTAAAATTACACAATACACCAAAAAAATACCAAAAATATAAAAAACACCACAAAAACTCCAAAACTCCACTCCAAACATGGAGTGGAGTAACAGTATTACTCAAAAAATGAAGTAACTGTGCATATCTGCAAAAAATGAGGGAAATTTGGGGTTGGACCGGAGCCCCTTCCCCCATTTTTTATACAACTCACTTCATAAATGCAGTGGGTTGGAGATAATTTTAGGAAATAGAAATATTTTTTGAAATGTTAGGGAATTGATTTTAGGAAATAGAAATATTTTTTGAAATGGGTTGGAGATGATTTTAGAAATGCAGTTAGTTAGGGAATTCTCTTATTTGAAATTTTTTTTCATTTTTTTATTTTAGTTTTAAGATTTGGAATTATATTAAAATAATTGCTTACATAGATTTGTTGGGTTGGACTCTTTTGTTTTACACTATTCATTCATTATATTTTTTTAAAATATAATTTATTATATTAAACTCTTGTTTTTATTTAAATATTGTTTATTTATTTATGTAAAACTCAATAAACTGAAACCAACCATTTTGTGACATGCAGTATGTTTGAGGTTATAATCTTTATAATTATTTTAATAGGTCATATAATTAAGAGATTAATTAATATAATATTTACTATATTTAATTAAATAAAAATCAACAAGTACAAAATTATTTATAATAAATTAATCTTACTCATCTTAATGTAAGCAATTATCTTTGATTAACACATTATTATAATATGCTTTAATAAATTAAAATAACTAAATAAATTAGATAAAATTTGTACATTTTTTTGGTTAACTAATCACCATTCTTACATGTTATCTTAGCTATGGAATTTCGTGATATATACCATTTTCTCCGTCCAGCTAATAAATATAAATATATGTTTACTTTTACGCAAAATTTAAAAAATAATAATATTTTAATTATACTATGTAGTTAAAAATAGAATAAAGACAATTTTGTCTTTGTTTTGATGTAAAAATAATGATACCATAGTAAAGTAGAAATATTGTGAAAAAAAAAATGAAGTATTCAATAAAATAGTTACTTTGTAATTGAAATTTAAAATAAATATATATATAATTTCTGACCGAAACCAAAAAATATTACTCCTTCCGTCCCATATACCATGTCCATATTGTCGTTTCTGTCCGTCTCACATTATATCACTTTCTTTTTTTGAAAATAATTATCCATCTTAATTTTATTTTAAATTTTCTAATTTTAATTTTTTTTTTAATTTCAATTAAACTACTTAATTATCTTAATTTTAATCTATAATAATTTATATTATAAATTAATTATTTTCACAAATACATTTTTAATTATCCATCTTAATGTTATTTTAAATTTTCTAATTTTAATTTTTTTTAATTTCAATTAAACTACTTAATTATCTTAATTTTAATCTATAATAATTTATATTATAAATTAATTATTTTCACAAATACATTTTTAATTATCTAGCGAAGGTAGTATGTTGTTAGATTCTACACTCACATTGTTTTTCATTTTTTACCCTACACCTATCCACTGGTATTGAACCCTGAAATAACTTCCACACGGTAATATCTCACCGCTTAATTTTCAACAGTTTAATTTTATTAAAAAAATATTGTGGTTAAAAGAAAAACAATTAAACACACCCCAAAACAAAAAGATTTCAAAATGTGGTTCTACAAGTTTATCAAAACCAAGTCTCCTTTAAGCAAACCATGCATGAATTAATTCATATAACAGAAAAAAAAAATAAATATATATACAAGATGTACATACCATCACACCTACAGGGCATCATGATCCGCAGCACATCCTGTTCTTTTCCGGAACAGCCTGGCCGGAACCCGCAACGTCGATATTCTTACCGGCGAGGGACACCGGCTTTTGATCTTGCTCTTTGCCCCCGGCAAGACTTCTCCGGTTGGTGACGTTGAATATCTCCGTCAAGACAGTCAGGAAGGCTTCTTCGACATTGGTTGCTTCCAATGCCGATGTCTCGAGAAAGAATAGCCCCTCCGTTTGAGCGAATTCCTTGGCATCCTCTGTTGGCACTTCTCTCTGGTCTTCAAGGTCGGACTTGTTGCCGACCAGAATCATTACTGTGTTGTCGTCGGCGTGAGCGCGCAGCTCCTCCAGCCATCGCGGGATGTGGTCAAAACTTTTCCGTTTTGTAATGTCGTACGCCAAAATCGCTCCCAGAGCGCCCCTGTAATATGCGCTTGTGACGGCTCTGTACCTACACGTTAAACCAAGATGGGTCGGTAATAGTCTCGTAAGAGATGGTCTGGTGGTATAGGATGGACTCATGACCTCGAGGTTAATTTCAACGCCTCCGGATCTTGTTTGCCACACATAGTTCATGTAGTGTGATTTGCTTTGTCGAGTTTAGTTTGCAGACTATAAAGCTCGATAAAAAATTTATCGAGAGCACACTCGAATAATAGTATGCCAGTTCCCACGTTATAAAAGAAAAAAAAAATAAAAATACATAACTAGTAAAAGAAGTATTCAAAATTATTCGCTAAGTCAGAATATAAAATATCACTCTGATAGTTCTATATCCTAAACATAGGCAATCTCAATAATAAACTACACCAAAACAATGAATAAATAACTGTTCAATCTTTTGATTTTCCTATAAATTACTAATTATTTTGCATTTTTTATTTTCTAAATTTATTAATTTCTCTAAAAAAGCATCTCATCGTATACATATAATTTATACAAAATATCATATTTAACTACTATTTCATGTAAAAAAATATTATTATTATTTTTTGTGAAACCACTTACAATCTTGTATCACTCTCTTGAATAAATAAGAAAATATATTTAAAACTTGAATTTTCATTTATAAAACACATTTATACTAAGCACATGTAAATATATATTTTATTTGTATTATATCTATTATTTTTTAACTTTTTAAAATATTACATGCATATTGAGTATATTTGATTACAATATAAGTTTTAAAATACTTTTATACACATGTTATATATGTATATTTTAATTATTATACCCCAAAATCCATTCATACACTATCTTACAATTCTCCAAACTAAATTAAATAACCATCCAAACACAAGTCATGTTTCAATCATCATATATATATATATATATATATAATCCAATGAAATCAAGGAAGGCATCACTCTTCCTCAGAGAACAAAGGCAAGCTTCCATCACCAAACTAAAAATTAAACAAACTCAAATATCAACCCAAACTAAAACCATTTCAAATTTCCAAAATGATCAAGAAACCATGTTAATACTGGTCCCCTAGCTAACACAAAAAGTTTATACAATTGAATCCATTTCAAATTTCCAGTGTACTTAAATACTACTCCCTTCGTCCCAAACACCTGCAATATTTCTAAAATAGAAAATAATTAATTATACATAATCTCTACTCCACATTTTATCCCATCACATATCGACTAAATAAAAAAATAAAATATATATTTCTCTCTCCATCACATAACCTCATTTCTAAATTATCATACTTAATATCACCCACCTAAAAATAGGTGCCAAAAGCAAATGGTGCATGATGAGGGAGTAGTATTTAGGCCAAGTGACTAAGATAATGCTTAGTACGGACGTTCAAGCTTAAATAAAAAATTCATCAAAACTGAGCAAAGATTAAGGACCTAAAACAAACAAAGCATTAAAAAATGAAACCAAATCCGGCAAAGATCTTCAACACATTCCCCCAATCCAACAACCAGCAACTCATCACAAATTTCTACAACATTCACTCACAATCTCAAGCAGAAACACAATCACAATCACAATCACCGACGTATGTAATAATATGTAAGCAGAAGCGCACGCGAATCGGAAACATAATTACCTTTCCTGACCAGCGGTATCCCAGATCTGAGCCTTGACGGACTTGCGGTCGATAACCACAGTTCGCGTCTGGAACTCCACGCCGATTGTCGCCTTGGAATCGAGGCTGAACTCATTGCGCGCAAATCGCGAGAGCATTTGAGACTTCCCCACGGAGGAGTCGCCGATCAGAACCACTTTGAAGACGTAATCTATTTTGTGGCTCCCATCGCCTCCTAATACTCCGGTGCTCGCCATTCGACAGACTAGACTAATCTGGAAACAATTCCTATTGTCAGGAGGCAGGTAGAGAGAAGATTCGAGACAGCGAAGCGGCAGAGACGGCGGCGAGGATCCGATTTTTGGGAAGAACACTCACAGTCAAAAATATTTCTCACTTTCCTTCCTTTTACTAAAATACAGCGTGTGTATTATGTAGAGAATCTATATAGAATATTGCCTAATTATATTATTATTATTATTATTATTATTATGGAATTTAGCATAGAGTCGACTCAATCGAGGATGAAAATATAACATGAGGTGAAGATGTTGGATTTGTGACCGTAAGCTCTTAGGTTTAAATCCCGATGCTTTAGGTCACATGTTATATATAGTTCGCTTAGTTTGATTAATTTGCAAATTATTAAGTTAGACCGGAGATTTACTCAATGACCACTTTAAGGTACGAATTTTTACATTATGCAAAAAAAAGTATAGCTTGAATTATTAAAGCCTTTATATATATATATATATATATTTCTAGTATTTGTTTGCAATAATTTTTTAAAAATATATTATATTAAATATTTAATGTTTTATTAGTTTAAAAAATTTAGAAAAGATATAATTAGTAATAAATTAAAAATATATTAGTACAAATGATTATCATATAATAAAAATAATTTTTAACTAAAATTAAGATAACTAATTAGTTTAATTAAAATTAAAAAATTATAAATTATAATTATTTTAATGATATTATAATGTATAATTCTTTTTTTTTTAAATGACATGATAAATGAGATAGACAAAAATTGAAATATAGACACAGTAAATGAGACATAAAAAATAATATTATTTAGTAGTATAATATTTTATAGAAAAATATATTTAATGTAAGTTTTAAAAGGTTAATAGAAATCACTAATATAAAATCTTTTAATAATTTAATTTATTTTTCTGAATTTGATTTGAATATGATATTAAAAATTATCCTTATTAAAATAATAAACAACTTTTATTAGATTAGGACACTTGACTAATAGTGTAAATTATAACTATTTAAGGTGTGTCCAATTGACCCAAAATCACGCTCATCTTGGGCCATTTATAAAATTAGTATAAGCGTTGCACATTTAGACCAAGTCAAATTCAACTTATTTTACATTTTCTTTTGTTTTATGTTTGAATTTTTAATTTATTTTCCATTAAAACTTATAAAACTCATATTTATGGGTTTGATATAGAATAGGATTGCCGAGAGTAAAATTATAGAGAAATTTTTTTAATAGTGAATAAAAATTGATTCTTTGTTCAAAAAATATAAAAAAATATAAAGTATAATGAAACTACGCTATATTGCTAACTGAAACTAATAAATCGATTACTAAAAAAGTTATAAACTAGATAAAAAAAAATTATTGTATTTTTTAGTTATATTTTTTTGTTTGATAATTTATTTTAATAATAATTTAAATATGATATTTGATAAGATTCAAATAATATAAAATTCATAAAAATTAAATAATAGTAAAAAGAAAATAGTAAATAAACACAAATTAAATGATAAAAGTTAAATGCAAAAAATAAATAGATAAATACACACTGTAAAATTTTAATTTCATTTTTCTTTAAAATAATATAAAATTAGAGAATATGAAATAATTATTTTTTAATTCTGAATTATAATATAGATATTTTTATTTCTCTATCTCAATTTTTATATACCAAACACCCCCGGATAATTAAGGAATTGATTATTAATTTTGTCATTTAACTTTAGGTGATTTCATTAAATTTTTCTTTCAATTGATTATTTCCTCCATCTAGGGATGTCGTTAGCTCCGTACCCGCTCCGGACTCGTTTTTAATTGGATGGATTCGGGTAAAAAAAATGCTTTGGGATAGCTTATGAATTTTAAATTTTAATCCGGTGGAGTTCGGAGCGGGTTAAGCGTTTTACTAAAAATCCGTCCAACTCCGGGCTCGGACTCGAATACGGATATTTTAATAATTATTAGAATTTTTATATATATGAATAATATAAATTATATTACATATGTATTTAATTTTTTTATAATATAAACCAAAATTGTAATTTCTAAATCAAATATGTGTTCGTGTTTGTTTCTTCCTCAATTCTTTTCACAATCAGGATTACTGTCGTCGCATCGCCGGCCGCCGACCACCATCACTGTGGACAACTACCAACATTTGATTATTTCTTGTAAAATTTTGCCTCGTCTACCCCGACCGGCATCAGTGTGAACCACCACAAACATTTGATTGTATTTGTTTTTAGAGTTAAAATATTTTAGCCTTTTAACACTTATTTTTTTTAGTATTAAATTATTAAAATAAATTATATTTTATTTGAAAAATGAGTTTTCTGAGCTGGCCCGAACCCAGAGGGTTCGGATGGCACAGGTTCTGGGGCCGAACTTAAGCGGGGCGGGCGGAGCGAGTCTTGGGGTCTAATATTTTGTAGCAGGGCGGATCTCAGGGCCTGCAGAACCCGCCCCGTTGACATCCCTACCTCCGTTCTATTTCAAATTGAGCCATTTGGTTTTACGTAATGATTAAGAAATAATTATATTTTATTGGTTAATAAAAATATGTAAGGAATTTTGACATTTTTGCGGTTTGATTTTATGTATGAAATAATTGTATATGTAATGATATGTTTGTAATTTAAGTAAAAGTTAAATGTATTTTAATATTACAACGTGATTACTTTTCTTAAAATAAAAACATATATAGTTTTAAGTGAGACAGACGAAAATAATAAAAAAATACTTTGAATTGAGACGAATGAACTATTATAAATCCATTATTTATTTTTTTGAAAATTATTATGAGGGTGTTTGAGAAGGAACTTTTTCAATATTTTTTTAGTTTATTAAATAAATTTTCGTCAAATAGATTAACGTTTTTTTTATCCAAAAAACTAATTTATCTAGCATTTTAGAAAAAAAAAATTCATTTAAATTTATTTATTTCTTATTTGCCTTTAAATTTCATTTAAATTTATTTATTTCTTATTTCAAATAGAAAATACAAATATTATTTATTTATATATATTTTTTATTATATAAATTTTATACTAAAAATAAATAAAATAGAATAAATTAATAAATTAGTCAGTAATTAATATAATAAAAATATATATGCGAAACTATTTTATATTTTACATAATTTTAAATAAAAAATTATAATTATTGTTTTTCAATTAAAATATATATATTTTTTCAAATCTAAAAAATAAAAAATAAATATTTTATAATACTTTTATAATTTTCAATAATTAATAACAAATTTTTACATAAATTTTAAACCCAAAAAAAAAAGAAATTGAATATTTTAAAAAATAACATACAAATGTCCTTAATTGTTATTTTATATATAAATAGTTAATATCAAATAATTATTTTATTAAAATATTTTATTATAAATAACTAATTGAAGCAGCTAATCAAAACAACTAATTGAATAAACTAACAAGTAACAACTAAAAAATATCGACTAATTATCGAACAAATCCTATATGTATATTCCTCAATATTGGAGAAAGATTTTCTAGTTATGTGAAATTTCTAGTAATGTGAAATTTCTAGTATGCTTAAACATAATTTACCTTGATACATTCTATATATTTTGTTATCTTGTACTCCCTCTACTCCAAAAGTATAGTCTTATTATATTGCATACGAGATTTAAAGAATATTGACATTATATTGGTGGTTGGTAAAAAATATGGATAAATGATTTTTTTGCCCTTGTGAATATAGTGTAAAAAATAGTGACAATTGTGTAATAATAATGAAAAAGTAGAGATAGTTTTATGGTGATATGATTATTTATAAAAATGAGACTATTATTTTGGGACGGATAAAAATGATAAATAAGACTATTGTATTGAGACGAAAAGAGTATATCATCCATGATGAATTCTCATTACATTTTCTTGTGTATATTACTCATAGCTATTAAAAAGTGATGACTAGTTTATTATAGAGTAACTAGTTGCACGGTCAATCAAATACACTTACTTTGCGACCACACACAAATGCAATGAAAGGGAAGATATTGTCTCCAATAGAATTGTGTGATTAACTATTTTACGCATTAATTAGAAAGTATAATTTTATTTATATAAAAAAATAAATAAAATAACAGAACGATCAAATTAATGGACGACTATCTATCAAGGAATGACTAGCTTAAGTGATTATGCAATTGTCGTAATTGTATTTTATCACAAATTCAATAAAGTTACAATATTAAAATAAAAATATTAATACATAATTATTAATAATGTAGAATAAATAATATGATAATATTATTTTTTGTATATTAAGATTTTTAAAGTATATAATTAATCATTTTAAATGATTGAATTAAAATATTTTAAGAGTAAAAATCATTTTTGGTCTTATTCAATATCATAATTATCAATTTTGGTCCAATTCAAATAAAAATTATCATTTTTGGTCCCACTCAAATAAAAATTTATCAATTTTAGTCCCAAGATGGTTGACTGAGACTGAACACGGCCGTGTTTGCTTGAACACGGGCGTGTTGAATGACTCAGAAGGTGACTGGACGTCCCAGGCAGCCAACACGGCCGTGTTCTTGCCCGTATTCTGAACACAACCATGTTCATGTTCATGTCCATATTCTCAACACAACCATGTTCTAGGCCATGTTCACGACCATGTTTTCAATATAATCATATTGTAGGTCATATTTATTATTATTTTCACTTTTTGGTTAAAATTATTTGATATATATATATTTATAATTCAACAAAAATATTTTTTACAATTATTTCATAATATAAAAATAATTATTTTTTAATATTTTTAAAATATATAAAAATAATAATATATTAATATATATTTTTATCCTTCACATTGTAGGAATTTTTCTCGTTAAATTATTAATGTCCCATTTTATTATTTCCATGGTTTATTGTTGTTTATCATCTATCGTTAATAGGTGAACAAAATAATCAAAGTTTGGTAAAAAAGAATTAAAGGCATGTAGTGGACAATACTTCACTTAGGCAATAGCCCCTGCAATTTTTTTTTTTTTTTTTTTTTTTTTTTTTTTTTCTTTTTTTATCATATGTTTTTATTAAGAATTTTTTCTTCAATCAGTGTTTTTTCAATATTATTACCATCAATTACCTCATTACCATATCATATACCACCGATGTAATTTTATGATGAATTAAGTTAATTTTTAATTTAGAATACGATAATATTGTACAATTTCATCTCAATTTATTTGCTAGTTTCTGTTCTAGCATGCCATTGTATAACTTCATTTTTTCATAGATTTTTTTTTTTTTTTTTTTTTTTTTTTTTTTTTTTTTTAACAATTTCCCTTTATTTGTTGTTTGTGATCATTTACTTATAGCATATTTTGATAAAGATAAAAGACAAACATTAGTAAATAAGAAAAATAAAATTATAAATATTTTGGGATATTTCATAATAAAAATAATAAAAAATAAATTGAAATTAAATTGATTTTTAGTACGTGCTACGAAGAATTGTGTCAAAAATATATTATTTTAAATTAATTTTTGACTTTTAACTTTTTTATAATAATTTTTTAAGTTGATTTTTTTGTAATAAATATTTAATTTTTTTTGACATTTTATAAAAAGAAATACTCCATCCGTTGACTTAATAAACTTATATTTACTTTTTGCGTCATTGTACTTAATGTTAAAAATATTTTTATATTTGTATAATTTATTTTTATATAAACGTCTTTTATCAGTATTTTAAAACACTAATAAAAATATATTTGTCTATTTTTCTTTTTGGTACTGCGCTTTTCCGGAGAAAATATTTTGTGTTTTATTATAATTTTTAGAAATTACAATTCAAAATAATCTTGAGAATACATACCCATTATATAAAGATGATATATCATTCATTTTAATAAAGATTGTCGATCCAAGAAAATTTTTGACAATATCTTTACGTCATGTCAGCAAATTGAGTGGCGAGAAATGGGACAAAACATTAAACTTGGGAGACAAATCGTGTTGTTATAGCAGATTCTACACGTTAATAAATACAAAGTCAATACATCCCTCACGTGCTATATCGTATTTATCTTGCAAAATGTTCAGTCGCATATGCTCTCTCCGTCCCACCATAATTGATATTATTTTTATTTTTGTCTATTTCGTAATAATCGATATATTTTTATTTTTGATAAAAATTATTAAACCAAAATATATTTAACAAATATAAATCAACTTACTTAACTACGTAACATATAATATTATAAATGACGTAGCACCCATTCAAAATCCCTTTATTTCTACATTTCTCCTCGAAAAAATAAATATTTTTTTTATCTATATTTAAAACTACACATCTTTTATAAAAATGATTTCTGTTAATTATAAATAAACAAAAATATTTTTTTTATTTACTTGTATTATAGAAGATTTTATTCTCTACAAAATGATATCTTGCTTATTTTTTTTAATTGCTATATAATTTTTAAATATTTAAACATATATTTTAATTTTTTAATTATATATATTAAATTTACTTTACAACTATAAATATTATTAATTATATAAAAAATAATATAATAATATAATAATTAATTATTATTAACTAATTAATTATTTTTACCTTAAATACGGTATTTCTAATCAAATGGTTCAATTCCGATAGGATGGAGAGAGTATTTTTTAAAAATTATTCAAACAATTTTTTTGACTTTAAGGAACTGCAGGGGAAAATTAAATATACAGCTGTCCACAAGTGCTTAGATGCTATGCTATCTTGGAAGTTGGATTAATTTGGTTAAAAATTCTAAATTATAATAGATTTTTTATATTATAATATTTTATACATTTTTTGTTTCATTTCTTAAAATATATATTCACCCGATTTACTAAAAATATGCTCATATAGGATGAATACTGATTTTAATAAATATTAGTTTGTATTAATTAATTATGATATAAAATAAAAATATTTTGAGAAGCATATAAATGAGTTAATGAATTGAGTTTTTTTTTTTTTTTGATAAATCGAATAGTAAATTGTTGTGACATATTTATTAATAAATATAATATTGAATAAATTAATAATATATTTTAGTAGAAATATTACTTGAGAAAAATTAATTTCACTCATTTAGATATAATTAATTAGTGTATTATTTTCGTTAAAGAAAACAAATGATTAAATTATATATAAAATAATATTATCCACTAATCACTCCAAAATAAACAATTATTTGTAGACAAATATAAAGGAAAACAAACATAAATTTCATTGATAAAGAAAAATACTCTCCCGGTCTACTCAATTATAAGTATATATTTATTTTTTGCACGGAGTTTAATAAATAATATATTTTAATAATAGTCGCTGATAATTTTATAATAAAAAATTAGAAAACAAATATCACTACTTTATTTGAATAACAAAAAGAAAATGATAAAATGGACACCCGAGTGAACCGATGAAGTAATAAATAGTGTGATACTTATCGAAGTAAAACCTTAAGACAGCCTAGATGTTCAAGAACAACATTTAGTCACTTTTTGTTCTTATTAACTTTGTCATATATATCCAAATTAAAAAGCCATGAAGTTGGATGAAGAATCTTCCCCAATGCCATTAATTCTGAACAAGATTTCTCCTGGTTTGGAAACACCAAATTTTGGGGTAGGAATAGGATCCAAGGCCAAGACCATTTTCTTGACATGGAAAAATGTGTCGGTGACGGTGCCGGATCACAAGGCCGAGGGGAAGCGGCGCCACATCCTCCGGGGGCTCACCGGCTACGTTGCGCCGGGGGAGGTTGTCGCCGTCATGGGGCCGTCTGGCAGTGGGAAGTCTACCCTTCTTGATGCATTAGCAGGTATATATATATATATATATATAATATCAAATTATATACAATTTTATTATTATTATTTTTTTTTTTCGTAAAATATCGTACCGAATACTAATATTTTACTATTTTTAAGATTCCAATATATTTGGAAACATGGTTCAATAATTTCAGGTAAATATATACGATTTGAATTTGTTTGGTTTTAGTTTAAAATCGGTTTGAAATGGATGTTGATTTTAATTTTGTTTAAATGATATTTTGATATACTATTTTGTAAAATAAAAAAATATTCATTTTTATTGAAAAATATAGGGAACAAACAGTGATAATTTAAGTTTGAAATTACAATATATATGATCAATTATTAATTTATACCTATATAGCCTATCTGTCTGTACATTTGTTGATTTGATTTTTAGTTATTTTTTTTTGGGCATTTTAATCTATGAATAAAACATGATGACTGAATGCAGGGATTGTTTATTTAATTTTTATTTATTTATTTTGATGGTAGGGAGATTAGATTCAAACACTAACACTACAGTGACTGGGGACATCCTCGTTAACGGTCGGAAGGAGCCATTGGCTTTTGGGACTTCTGTAAGAACAATTTCATAAATCCACTTTAATTTCATATATATATATATATATATATTCATTTTAATTTATTTTGTCTATAGATTCATATTCAATTGATTTTAGTTTTTTTTTTTAAAAAAAATTTATATGCATGCTTCGTTTAATGGGTATTTTTTATAGGCTCCGGTGTTTATATATATATATATATGTGTGTGTTACGATTTCTTTATTATGCATTATTTATAATTTATTTTTATATAAAAATATACTTTTTCTATCTCAATTCAATAGTTTTATTTTACTATTTTTCTGTCTTAAAATAATAGTATTATTTTCATAAATAATCATATTATTATAAAATTAATTTTATTATTTTTTTATTATTATACAAATATCACTATTTTTTGTTAGAATGAGCAAAAATAAGCACAGATCAACAAAAAATCATGCTTGAGTCTAAAGAATAACAAAAAATAAAATAAAATAAAATACTATATATAAAAAAATAAAATTGTAGTCTAATAGTTGAATTTTTGTATATTAATTGTAGATCATGGGTTCACTTCTCATATTTATCCCAAATAATGTTATTAAATTGTTTTAAAATTTTTAAGAAAATAACTTTAAAAATTGGACTATCTTAGACACGGTTTTAAATCAATATTCGTTATTTCAACAAAAAACACATACTTTCCCTATTTCTCTCTTAATTCCATTCATATTTAATTGATTTAGATTTGATTCACGAGCACTAAATTGTGCTTCTCAGAACATGAACCCTATGTGTTCATGATTAAACTATCAAATATCTCATACCACATTGTCATGCATAGGCCTATGTTACCCAAGATGATACCCTAATGTGCACATTGACGGTAAGAGAAGCAATGTACTACTCAGCTCAACTCCAACTTCCAGATTCAATGTCCAAAAAAGACAAGAAAGATAGAGCCGAAGCTACCATAAAAGATATGGGGCTACAAGACGCCGTCGACACAAGAATTGGTGGGTGGGGCGCAAAAGGGATTAGCGGGGGCGAAAAGAGAAGACTTAGTATTGGCATAGAAATTCTAACAAACCCAAATCTCTTATTTCTCGATGAGCCGACTAGTGGTTTGGACAGTGCCTCTGCTTACCATGTCATGAACCATATAGTGAAACTTGCGAAGCATGACAACATAAGTTTCATCGCAGCGATTCACCAACCTAGTAGTGAAGTTTTCGAACTTTTCAACAATCTATGCCTTCTATCCGGGGGGAGAACCGTGTACTTTGGCTCGACTATGGGAGCAAATGAGGTAATGATGTAATATTACTAGATTCAAGATTATTACAACATTGGAATATATTGTGTTTTAACCCTATATGATCTATTTATTTATGACATATATGGTTTGTAGTTTTTTGCTTCAAATGGCTTTGTCTGCCCGCCGATGAGGAATCCATCCGATCACTACCTCAGAACAATTAACAAAGACTTCGATATGGTTAGCTTCTTTGTATATCTACCTATATTTAAGTGTATATTTGTTGAAACCCTTATATTAAAATACATTTAAATATATATTTAATTTACATAAAATGAAACAAATTTTATTATATATTTTTTGATATTATATTTATATTTATAAATTTTATTATATATATAAATATAAGTTTTTGGGTAAAAACATGTCCCTCAAAATTTTGCATAGATTTGAAATAGCTTTATCTGATCTATTAGTTTTGTTTGACATGATGGTAGATTTGAAATTTCTAAAAGTTAATTGTATATTTGAAATTAATTTATTATAATATTTTAATTACCTTTTGTACTGTATCATTTCAAAAACTTCCACAGCCAAATGATTGATTTTAATTATGAATTATGTTAAATTTAAACTAATTCAAATTTATTCGTTTAAAATTTATTTTTAAATTCAAATCCATCAAACCAAGCACGGCATAGAGAATTATAATTTATGCATTATGTATGATTAATTATCAATTTTACAATATGATGTATTTGGTTTGAAAAAAATTAATTTAAGTTTGATATTAAAATAATATTTGATAAAATGTCTCGTAAAAAAAAAGAAAAAAAAAAAGAAGAAGAAGAAGATTCGAAAGATTTGTATTAATGTTTCTATATATGTTTTTAGTCTAATTGCTTATCCAATTGTTACATATAACCTTAATAAAATGACTATGAATGTAGGATGTTGAACAAGGATTTGGGGATACTAAAGGAAGTTCATCAGAAGCAACTGAGATTCTGATTAATGCCTATCAGACCTCTGAAACTTTTCAGCAAGTGCAATACTATATGAATATGATATCCTGTCAAAAGGTAAACAACCCTTTATTCATAAAAGTAATACCTACTTGAGCCCCCGTAAAGGATGACCTGGTGGTGTAGGGGTTGGATTTGTGATCGTGAGGTTATAGGTTCAAACCCTCGACGCCTCAGGTCATCTGTTATACATGGTTCGCCTAGTGTGATTTTTCTGTCGCACTTTCGGGTAGTGGCTGCGGTTTTCCATATGATTTGCTGGTATAAATAGGATAATTTATTACTATAATTAAAGGTTAAATTACTTTGGTTAGACAAGGAAGCTCTAGGATTTTTTGTCATAAAAACTTGCAAAACTATTTGAAGTTACACTAGAAAGCTTTTGTTACATTATGTAGTCGATGAACTCATCAATTTTCATGTCCAACGAGGGATGTCAAATATAAATTTTGCCTTTTAATTTTCTGATTTGCTATATTGCTCTTTTAAAATATTTAGAAATTCATTAATTAATATATTTCGACACGATAATACAGAGTTTCTTGTTAAGTGAGTTTTCTTGTATGGCTACACATGTTATTTTACCCTGATAACTTATACATGCATGTGTGTGTGTATATATATATATATCGATATATTTGTTTTTTCGACATGTAGAATGATGGATCACGGAAGAAGGAGAAGAAGAAGAAGATAGAGCGAGCAGGATTCATAACCCAATGTCTAGTTCTTACACGGCGATCATTTGTGAACATGACTCGGGATCTCGGCTACTACTGGTTTCGGTTCGGCATATTTTTCCTCTTGAACTTGTCCATAGGAACACTGTTTTACAACGTTGGTCACACCTACAGTTCCATCCAAGTATGGCTTCAAATCTATAGCATTTTCACAAGTTAGCATTTAAGAATATAATCATAAACTAAAGCATGCTACTCAATTAATTTGCAAGTTCATCATCATCATCTAATTTGGCAGGCAAGAAGTTCAGCACTCACGTTTGTTTCATCTTTTATGACATTAATGTCTGTTGGAGGCTTCCCTTCTTTCGTAGAAGATATGAAAGTAAGTATCAAAGTACACCTAGCTACTAATATTCATATATATATATATATATATATATTGACTAAGATTATTATTATTATTATTATTTCTGGAAACATTTGGATTTGTTAATTAACATGTCAATTTTATTCTATACTTCACCTACCAAAATTCTAAAAAGTACCATATCGTTTTTTATTTTAAATTTTATATATAATTCAAAATATCACATTTAAAAATGATTTTTCCTAATAAAACAATACTTAATAAATCACTAATCAAGGGTTTGTTTGGCTGTCTAGTGGTTTATAATTGATTTGAAATTAGTGTTGATTTGAATTTTATTTAAAGAGTATTTTAATATAATATTTTATCAACTAAGTTAATATATTTATATTTAAAATATTAAATAGTTGTGTTTTTTTATTTGAAATAAAAAACAAATACACCTCAAACCAAATATAAAAACAAATATCCGAGAGAGAATTGGAAGGTAAATCCATATATTAAAAAAAAAACAGAAAAGGGAGCGAATTGATATATGCATGCATAGATATGTGTGTGTAGTGTGTTTCTTTAGTCCCAAAGCTCAAAATTTTACTATTTAACTTATATTTTTGTCGAAAAGAATACATTTTTTTTATTAGAAAATATTTCATTATATATTATTTTAATAGCAAATTCAAACCAAAATTTTCTAAACTTCATCAAAACAAACACGAATTTTAGATAGTTTTCATGTTTTTAACAAATGCAAATGAATTATTTGGGGGTTTATGATTTTTGGATGAATGTATCCATTATTGTTAAAATAAACTTTTTATAAGGATAATAAACATTGAATTCTCAGGCAAAGAATTGCTACTCAACATATTAGGAATGATTTTTTGGTTGTTTCAGATATTTTCGGGTGAAAGACTCAATGGACATTACAGCGTGGCTGCATTCGTCGTAGCAAACACTGTATCTTCCATCCCTTATCTTCTATTAGTGTCGGCAGTGCCGGCAACATTGGCTTATTTCCTAATGGGCCTCCAAAGAAGCTTTGATCACTTTGTGTACTTCATCTTGCTTCTCTTTTTGGCCATGATGCTCGTCGAGGGGATCATGATGGTAGTGGCAACCTTTGTGCCAGATTATCTTACAGGGGTCATAACAGGGGCAGGAATTCTAGGCGTAATGTTGTTAACCGGGGGCTTCTATTGCTTGCCTAACGATATTCCAAAGCCCATATGGAAGTACCCGATATACTACATTTCTTACCTCAAGTATACATTCCAAGGATTCTACAAGAATGAATTTCTAGGTTTGACATTTTCCAATATATCGGGACAATCTGTCATCACCGGGGAAGAGATAGTGAAAAATATGTGGCAAATGGAGACAAGTTACTCCAAGTGGATTGATATGGTTATCCTTCTTGCGATGATTGTTGTGTATAGGCTCATGTTTTTGGGGATTTTAATGGTTGTTGAGAAGTTGAAGCCCATGATCAAGGGTTTTTTGGCATGGATAAAAGATTGATATAGAGAACCTTGCTTACAAGAAAATAGTAATGGAGGATTTGTTTGGTTTAATTTGACTGTGGTTATGATTATTTGGAGGTGTATAATACATACTAGGGAGATTCCATATATAGCATGCCCCAACACTTTATTTGCATACACTTATTTATTCGTTCGGCAACTCTATTTTATTGGAGTGTTGTAGGTATATATATCTTTAATATCAAAATATCATTCTTGGCACAACCATGCCTGAATTTGACCAATTTATACTCTTCACTTTTTTCTTTTTATTTTAATACTGTGAGAACTTGCCGTCGAGTGCGTTTTGAATAAATTTTCGATCAAACTTAATAGTCTGCAAATTAGATCCGGGGAACAAATATACTATCCTTGTATAGGTCTATGCCCATAGATTTTAGACTCAAATATTTGCATTTTTAAAGTATCATTTTTATCCATTGTTTTGCTCATATGACCAAATCAACTATGCCATTTTTTCATTATTGTTGTTTTTAAAAAAGTCTTGAGCCAAAACTATTGTGTATTTTAAAATCTTTCAGTTTTACATCTAATGGTTCTAGTATAACGTTCAATGTCAAATTGTCATGTATGTTATAAAAATTTGAAAAAAAAAAAAGAAAGAAAATTGATGCATAGAAATATCAAAACACACAAGCTTGAGATGTGCAACATTCTATCGGACTAAACGCCGTATGCCGATCCTGAAACAATATGTATGTCGACGCAAGCTAATTGTTGTCTGTGAGTTGCTCATATAATATATGAATTACAAAATAAATTGTACACAAATTATTAAATATATAGAACACTAAGTTTTTTTTTTTTAGTTCGTCCACCAATTTGGTTCCAACCAAGAAAAAAAAAATCTTATATGATATGGGTAGAAACAAGGTACAAATTGCACATACCACAACCACAAACACCAACTTAAATGCAATAATTTCACTGTCAAGTGCAAGTGCAATCTTCTTCACAAAGGCAAGATTTTAATTCCTCAACCTCCATTGGTTTGTATTATTATTATTTTTATTTTTTTTGGATAACACGGAAACTGCAGGTGAACCATGGGTCACAAGTCCAACCTCTACACCACTAGACCATCCCTTAAGGTACTAATTTGTATTATTGTTCTAGATATTAACGGTGGGTGATGATTTTTTTTTTTTTTTTTTGTAACACTAGCTTGCAATCTCTCTTCAAATTCTTTTACAACTCACGGAAAACCATCATCGAACAAATGTTGTTAGCTTTCAAAAATATCTTCGAAACTTCTGAAATTCCATAAATAACAAGCATGAACAAACCCAAACAAAATAATGAAATTCTTTCACCATTTTTTGTTTTCACTCCACACTTGGTTTTACCTCTCAAAATCGTCCCTCGAAACAAGAATCTTCTTCACATCGAAGGCAAAACTCAAGCATCAACTACAAGGGATATTGGCTTTTCGCTATAAGTGTGATAGTGAGGATGAACTCTCATGAGAATTTTCTCACTCAAAATCTTTCTCTCAATACAAAAAAAAAAATAAATTGTTGAATAAATTTCAATGCGAGTATTTATAATAGACACAACCATAAGAAAAAAAAGTTAAAAAAAAAAGTTTTCATTTTTCTTTGATAGCTTTAAGTAGACTTGGTCTTGTATTGTATATGAGAAACATATTTAGAAGATAGACCTCAATTAGAATCTCCAAACATAAGTGTCGATGACCAAATTAGGTAAAAATACGGTATGTGTATGTATTATATTTTTGTTATCATATTTACACACACCATTATTGCAATAGCACAACAACTACATAAACTCTATCTGTGTTACAACTTCATGTGTTTAATAACATTACATCACCGACAGATATATGAGAATTATTAATTTTTATTTCTTATTTTATAAATATTCAATTTTATTTCAGATAAAAATTATTCCAATAAAATAAAATACACAACAACGAACAATTTGACTTTATGGTCATATATTCTAACAACACTACCTTATATTAGTTATTCCATCGTGGAAGTTAATGTGTCAAGTTGGTATCACATTTAATATATTAGTAGAAATTCTTGGCATCAATTAAAGTTATAACCCAAAAAAAATAAAATAAAAATCATTTGATTAAAATTTATATTACCCAGTCCCGCTCTAAGATCTCATTTATTTTTTTGCATGTTGATATTTGAATATTAATTATTATATCAAAATATAGTACAAATTAAGAAAAAATTGTAAAAATACTTTCATTAGTGTCTTATAATACTAATAGAATTTCATTTATATAAAAAATTATACAAATATAAAGGTATTTTTAATGTTAGATATAATGACGCAAAATGTAAATATAATCCTTAATGACGGACAGAGGGATTAATAAATTAACACAATATTTCCACACTAATGAAAGTTAAGTCTAATAAAATTTCTTTGATACATATTGAAATCCTCGTGGAGGAATAGGTGTGTGTATATATATAGCAACATTTAATTTGTGAGACAAAATTGTGATCCAGATCTTATCATATCACATTTTACACATTAATAAATCAAAAGTCAACCAAAGCCCATGACGTGGCAGAGTATTTATTTCGAAATATAGGTTTGTTGTATATATATTTTAAAAATGATTCAATCATTTATTTCATTGTTAGGAATTAAAATTTTAAAAATGATTCAATCGTTTATTTCATTGTTAGGAATTAAAAGGCAAAATGACTCCGTAATTTATTTGTGGTTTGAAAAGTCTATATTATTATCTTATGATTTAAAAATTATATGAAATTCTTTAGTATTTTAAAAAATTAAACAAAATTCCTTTATTTAAGGATTTTTATATAATATTTTGAAAAACACAAAAGAGTGATCATGTTGGCACAACGGATGATTTATTTATTTATTTTTGTCGGTCTCATAAAAAATGAAACATTTTTATTCTTAATAAATTTATTCGTTTTAAACATACCTTACAAATATAAATTAATTTAATTAAATTTTTAACTTTTTTACACTTATAGCCCATTCAAAACTCTTTATTTATGTCTCTATTCCCGATAAATAAATATTTTTTTATCTGTATTTAAAACTTATTATTTTTTATAAAATTAATTTTAAGTTAATTATTAATAAATAAATATATTTTTTATTCATTTTTATTATATAAAATTTTATTAGTATTCATAGTGCATATATTTTAAAATATAATTCTAAAAATATTTAAAATACCAAGGACACTAATATAAAAAATAATATTATAATTTATTATTAATAACTTATTCATTTACACTTCCTAAAATACAGTGTCACTAACAAAAAAGGCTCATCGCTCACGCGACCGTATTTATTTAAATATGAAGAAGCCGCCTTATTAAAAAGATGAATAGGTGAATGTGATAAATTTAATGAGCACATGTGCATCGTGGCTATGGTGGCAATCGAGGAAAGCAATAATATAGCTATATATATAGATCTTAATTAGTTTACTTACAGAAATCTAGCCAATTTTTTCATAGCCATGAATTTGAATGAAGAATCTTCCCCAATACCATTTCTGAACACGAGTATAACTTCTCCAGAACCCTTCGAATCCAAATCGAAGGCCAAGGCAATTTTATTGACATGGAAAGATGTGTCGGTGATGGTGCCGGATCGCACGGTGGAGGGGGGCCGGCGCCACATCCTCCGGGGGCTCACCGGGTACGTAGCGCCGGGCGAAGTTGTGGCCGTCATGGGGCCGTCTGGCAGTGGGAAGTCCACTCTTCTTGATGCCTTAGCAGGTCAGGTGCGATCGATGGATTCATCGATCGCTAATTATATATATATATATTACATCATAAATAAATTATGTTTGTGATATTATTTGTTCGATCGTGAGCATTTAGTTTGATGAATTGAGGAAGTGTTTAACTAATTAGTTACTCTCTCCGTCTCATAAATTTAGAATATTTGATTTTGGCACAAAGATTAAGAAAATAAATATTTTATTAAAAAAATAATAATAAGTAAAAAAAAAGGTAATTGTGATATTTTTCAAATATGAGGAGAGATGAAATTAATAAATGAAGTAATATTTGGTGTAAATAAGTGTTGAATGAAAGATGATAATTATAATAATTAAATTGATTTGTTGATCTTACAAAAATTAATAATAGGGGTAAATTTAAGGACAGACTAAAAAAAAAAAATGAAAGTAAATTTGACGAACGGATAAAGTAATTAACTATGTTGGTTTGTGCAGGAAGATTAGATTCCAACACTAACACTAGACTGAAGGGAGACATCCTTGTTAATGGTCGAAAGGAGGCATTGGCCTTTGGCACTTCTGTAAGAAATATTTCCTCCGTCTCATATAATAGTTATGTTTTCGTTCGTCTCAAATATTATATTATTTTTTTTAAAAAAATAGTTATACAATTTAATCACATTATAAATTTTTTTATTTAAGTTAGACTAATTAATTATTTTAATCTTAATTTATATTTATTTGTATCATATAATTTTTAATATATCTTATTAAATAAAATTGCAAAATGTATTAGAAATATATAATGCTTATCGGGAATGATCAAATATTGAAGGCAAACATGTTAGAACTAGTAAATTACATATATACACATGTTGAACGATATTATCGATCCATTGAACACTAAATGATATATGTTAGACAATGTGAAAAACAAGTATATTTCTTTACCCAAGTTTTTTCTAAAAATAAAAATAAATAAATAAAAATTATTATTTGAATTTTAAGTTTCCCAAATATATATATATATTATATATATTTTTTCACAAAATATTTCATCAAAGGAATACAAAATCTAAATTAATATTTTCCAAATCAAACCCAAAGAAAACACACCCATGCGTTGTTTGTTAGGATTTTGAACTTTGAATACTAAAATTACGAATTTAAATAATTATTTGATATGATGTAAATATATGTTAATGTAATATTTTAAATATAAAATTAATTTTTATTGTAATAAAAAAATAAAAAATAAATATATAATTTGATATGTCAAATAAAAAATTCATAAATTGTAAAAAACTGTTAAAAAAAAAAAAAAAACATGTTAACCTCTACATACCTATATATAATATGCACATATATTTGATGTTGAACATGCTCTTGATTCATTAAGGTTCTAACATCAATTAAACCATTGATTTCGCATATAATTTGATGATTAAGAAAAGCACAAACCATCTCATGACAGGCTCCGGTTTGTGTTTCTAATTAAAGCTAAGTACCAAATATCTCTTCATGTAAATAAATCGATTTTCTTACCTAGGAATCCATATATATATATATATATATTATTTGAATGTCATAGGCCTATGTTACCCAAGATGATAACCTAATGAGCACATTAACGGTAAGAGAAGCCATGTACTACTCAGCTCAACTCCAACTTCCCGATTCAATGTCCAAAAAAGACAAGAAAGATAGAGCTGAAGCTACCATAAGAGATATGGGGCTACAAGACGCCGTCGACACAAGAATTGGCGGGTGGGGCGCAAAAGGGATTAGTGGGGGCGAAAAGAGAAGACTTAGTGTTGGCATAGAAATTCTAACAAGCCCAAAGCTCTTATTTCTCGATGAGCCGACTAGTGGTTTGGACAGTGCCGCTGCATTCCATGTCATGAATCATATAGTCAAACTTTCGAAGCATGACAATTTAAGTGTTGTTGCGTCAATTCACCAGCCTAGTAGTGAAGTATTCGAGCTTTTCAAAAATCTTTGCCTTCTATCCGGAGGAAGAACTCTCTATTTTGGCTCGACTATGGGAGCAAATGAGGTAATGATATACTTATATACCACATTCAAGGTTATTACAACATAGAATTATATTGTGCTTTTAACGCCAATTGATCTATAATTACAACATCGTTTATAGTTTTTTGCTTCAAATGGCTTTGTGTGCCCGACTATGAGGAATCCATCCGATCACTACCTCAGAACAATTAACAAAGACTTCGATATGGTGAGCTCTTTTATATATCTACCTAATGTCAATATATATGCATACAATATTGAAACCCTTGTATGATAACAAATACTGCTTGAATTACAGTGCTGATTGAGTTAAATTAGGACTGTACTGATTTGACTCGATCAATATATATATATATATAAAAGACAAACATCGCATATTTGACATCACATGGTAATATATTATACAATATAGGTTATAATTTTATATAAGATAATATATTATTGATTTCAGCATAGTAAATATATTTATATAATACGGTCTAATATATAATCTGCATAGCATATGATTCAATATGGTACAACATATTTTTTTGCTATATAAAAAATAATCCGTTGTCTGTGTGCTGACTTGACTATCCAGTCAGAATAATAACCGCGGCCAAACAAATACATATAGAAATTTGTAATTTATGTGGTATGTATGATTAATTACTATTTTTAATATATAACTTCTTATATATCATTATAATTTTTATGTTATTAATTACTATTGTCTCATACAAATATGAATGTAGGATGTTGAACAAGGAATTGTTGGTACTACAAGAAGTGCATCAGAAGCTACAGAAATTCTGATTAAGGCATATCAGACATCGGACACTTTTCGACAAGTGCAACACTATGTGAATATGATATCTTGTGAAAAGGTAAGCAACTCTTTATTCGAAAAGAAATACTATTATCTTAGAACTTACAAAACTTTTGCAAAATAGTTTGAAGTTACAGTAAAAAGCCAGTGATACATAATCTAATCATGTATAGATAAATTCATCAATTTTCATGTCCAGTAAAAGGTCGATTTTATATATATGTTATGTTAAATATGACATATGTTATGTGAATTTCCTTGTGTAGCTAAATATGCTATTTTACCTTGATACTTCATGTATATATATATATATATATATATAACATATGTTCACATATATATCAATGAATCATCGCTATGTAGAATGATGGATCACGGACGAAGAAGATAATACGACGAGCAGGATTCGTGACTCAATGTCTAGTTCTCACCCAACGATCATTTGTGAACATGTCTCGCGATCTTGGCTACTACTGGTTTCGATTCGGCATATATCTTGTCTTGAACTTGTGCATAGGAACACTCTTTTATGACATTGGTCATACCTACGGTTCGATCCAAGTATGACTTCAAATCTATATGCAATAATCACAAACTAATGCATGCTAATTAACTAATATATTAGCATCTTCATTAAAAAATAAATAAATAAATAAGAATGAATAACATATGTATGCATATATCATTTAATTTGGCAGGCTAGAGGTTCAGTGCTCACGTTTATTTCCGCTTTCATGACGGTATTGTCTGTTGGAGGTTTCCCTTCTTTCATAGAAGATATGAAGGTAAGTATCTTTTTCATTTAGAATGACCACTAAAGTTCCTATTACCATTTTCCTCTTCTTACTCTATCATTTTTTAGAACAATTTTGGTAGGAAAAGAATAAAAAGTTAAAGAATTGTAAATATTGGTCACATAATTGCAAGATAATTTAAAAAAAAAAAAAAAAAAAACAGGATTTAATATAATAGAGAATAAGTATATATTTTTTTTTATTTTTCAAATTTATGTTACTAAAGATCTTTAAGGATATATATATACACATATATCAGCATATATTTATACGTATATCAGTATATTTATAATATCATATATGTTATATTATAACTCAGCATATGTTATACTATGTATAAATATACGTTAGTTATGTGTATGTCATATGCTGATTCGGTCAAATCAGCACTATGCTGACTTGGCCGGATCAGCACAGGATCCACAGCCATATATATATATTTCAAAACAATTCAACATTTCCCAACCATTTGCATGTTTGACCAAATCAAATGGATTGTTTGAATGTTCATGTCTTTTGTGATATGAAGCATTTTCTTGATTAAGACCAATTTTCATTAGGATAACTCAAATTGAACTTGCTACTCATATGTATGCATATATATACAAGGAATGTTCCTTTTTTTATTTTTTATTTTTCTTAATTTCAGATATTTTCGGGCGAAAGGCTTAATGGACACTACAGTGTGGCATCATTTGTTGTAGCTAACTCTTTATCTTCCATCCCTTACCTTCTACTAGTATCTGCAATTCCGGCAACAATGGCTTATTACCTAGTGGGCTTACAAAGAAGCTTCGATCACTTTGTGTACTTCATATTGCTTCTCTTTTTGGACTTGATGTTGGTCGAGAGCCTCATGATGGCAGTGGCACCAATTGTGCCCGATTATCTTACAGGGATCATAACAGGTTCGGGGATTCAAGGTGTATTCTTGTTAAACGGGGGTTTCTTTCGCTTGCCTAATGATATTCCGAAGCCCGTATGGAAGTATCCCGTGTACCACATTTCTTACCACAAGTATGCCTTCCAAGGTTTCTACAAGAATGAATTTCAAGGTTTGATATTTCCTAATGAGCTTAAAGGGGGACAATCTGTCATCACCGGAGATGAGATAGTGAAAAATGTGTGGCAAATGGAGACGAGTTACTCTAAGTGGATCGATTTGGTTGTCATTCTTGCAATGCTTGTTGTCTATAGGCTTATGTTTTGGGGTGTTTTAATAGCTAGTGAGAAGTTTAAGCCCATGGTTAAGGGTTTTTTAACAAGAACAAAGGATTGATTTTAACAAGAACAAAGGATTGATACGAAGAAATCTATGCTCTAAGGAAAATGATTATGGAGGAGTTGTTAGGTTAGTTATACCCATGATTATTTATAAGTGTGTAATATATATATATATATACACGGTGCTGATTTTGGAAAATTATCATACATAATATATATAGAAACAATACTTTTTTTTTACTACACACAACATATGTTGTTTGTAGTAACAGCATGCGTTGGTTTGTTCATAATTACACTGTGTATTGTATAAGAGTATGTCATGTGCTAAACTGTTGTATATGTTGTGAATGTATTGTATTTATATTATATTAACGGATATTGTGTGTTTTATATGGTAATACCGTATGCTATCCGTTAACACATGGTGTACTATTCAGGTCGCCGTCTATAGGAGATTTCATGATGCACTATGTGTAATCTCTTTTAGAACTTAAGAATCAAATAACTTATATTATTGAGTAAATTGCACTACATTGTTTATTTGTATATTGGAACATTATTATTATTTTTTATGATCTAAAAGTTGTGTAAGATATACATGTATTTTGTGAAATTCTAAGCGGAACTTTCATTAATTAATTTGAATTACAACTAAAAAGAACGATTTTATTTAGTCAAATATGTCATTGTAATTGTAGTAGTCCAAATATTTAAGACATATATTTCATTAAATTCTAATTGGTGGGGCGGGGTTTTTACAAAATACAAATAGTTTTTTTCGATAAATTTTAAATAGTTTATTAAAATGATTAATTTTTAGTAAATCATAGGAATTATTATATAATTTATCTTATGTTATATGCATTTTTATGTTACTTTATTATATATATGAAAAATCGAAAAAGAAAAGGTTGTACACAACTAAAAATTGAAGCATAAAAAGGACACCAAGTAAAGAACTTAGGTGATAACACAAATAGTTTACTATCACAAGATAGTAAACCTCTATTTCACGATGAGATCACAACAAATTAGGAAAATTGGAAATGTATATAATACATGTACATATATTTATATATTTCTTCAATATATTCAATTACTCCTTCCGTCCCGTTGGAAGGGTGACGTTTGCTTTTTTTATGTAGATTTTTTAATATTAGTATTATATTGAATTGTAGTAAAAAAAGACAAAAATATTCCTATTATTAGTACGGTGTAATATAAAAGTAATGTCATTTATGTAATATATTATAATTAAGTTGAAATGGTATTTATTATATTAAATAGGTAATACAATTACTAAATTAGGAAATGGTAACCTTATTTTGAAACAGACAAAAATGAAAAATTGTTACATTTCAATGGGACGGAGGGAGTATTATCATTGATCACTATTTTTCTCTAAAATAATTTTCATCAGTTACTTTTTCGTTTTCATACTCCGGCCACATATGAACAAAATATAATATAGAGTTATCCAGTAAGGATTGGTCCAGTGGTGTGGAAATTCAAAGTGTGACCGTGTATTTATAACACTATCATAAAATTATTCAAATTTAAAATTTTTACTATTCTAATCTTATATAACTTCGAACAAACACACCTACTCTTCAACCCTAACAATTCATCTACAACATGAAAATATCAAATCAAACTTTTAATGAAATAAAAAATTTATATTTTGGTTTTTTGAATGTAATTGCATTTTGAAGATAAGTTTTGTTCTTTTTATCTGTGTTTTATTTTATTTTTTATCTTAATATTTTTCTATTTTTCATGTTTATTGAAACTTTCGGGTAAATCCTTATTATTTTCCTTCAGTCTTCGGTTCACAATCTCCCTCTGCCTCACAATTGTTCTGTTCTGTGCTTAGTGCTGACGTTTCAATGGAAGTGGTGGAATCCATGCATTTATTTCATTCCTGTACCATCTCCAGCCAAATACTCATTGTTCCTCTCTGCTCAGCTTAACTGTTAGCTTGATTCAACTGACTCACCGTCGCTACAATGTCCCTCGCACTTCGCTCCCTCTCCTCCATAACCATCAATTCTTCTACCCAATACAACATTCCGTCCTCGCCAAATCCCAATTTCATCTCGGCATCCCCTAATTTGCATTTTCCATCCCCAAATTCAAGGCCCCAGCTACTGAATCACAGGCTTTCCATATCACAAACTCATGTGTTCGCGGCTGCAAGTTTCGATTCCGTTTTAGATGAACCGGACGGAGACGCCTCTCGTGCTCGGGTTAACGGGAATGGCAGCAGCACAAGCTTCGATGCTTTTCTTTCCATTTTGGAATTCCTCAGCCTCGTGTCATCGGCTGCGGCTTCTGTTTACATCGCCGTTCGCTGTGGGATAAAAAAGGGCGGATCCTTGGGTTTGTTGGAAAGCAAGGTTTTGCTGTGGCAGTGCGCGGTTCTGGCCGGCGGATTGGTGGCCGGAGCTGTGATAAGACGGCGGCAGTGGAGAAGGATTTGTGGGGTTGAGCATTTGCGGTGGCCGGTTTCTTCTAGGGCTAGTTTGTTGGAGAAGGTGGAGAAATTAGAAAATGATTTGAACAGCTCCTCAGTGATTGTTCAGGCGATAGAAAGGCGTCTGGAGAAGCTAAGGATTCGGTTTCGAGTTAACCGGAAGGCTCTGAAGGAACCCATGGCTGAGGTATTGTGATGATCAATTCATATTTGAATGAGCAGTTCATCGTGATCTAATTGTTCAATTTCAATTGTACATGGGAGGATGGTTTAGATGCAAATGTTTTCCTGATAATTGAATGAATTTAGTTCTCAGAAATAGGCAAAAGAGTGTTTGTAGAAAGCATCATCCAGAAATGGTCGAAATGTTGGGTAATTGCAAAAGATTTAGGGCTTATATGTTAAGAGGACAGATTTTGGGTATGGTAATCACTTGGTGAATAAGAAGTTAAAGTTCAGCTGTACATCTGCAGGAATTCTTCTTTTCTGCATTGTATCTGCTTCACTTGTGAAATAAAATGCTCTATACTTTGTCTATGTCTGAACTTGTAGTTCTTGGATGAGATGAACCGTGTTTAAAGGAGATTTATTGAAAGAGTGAGGTGAGTGTATCATAAGTTCCGATTGAATATCTATTTGTTAGAAGATAACTGATTGTGTAACGTTGGATGCGTCGTGTTGCTGAAGTCGAATGTTAATGTTAGTTTCTAGGAAATTTCGTTCTTAGTCTGTTTAGAAATCTAAGAGCTCTTTATTCTTTGTTTACAGATGGAAAAATTGATCCAGAAAAATTCAGACGCCACCCAAGCATTGATAACACATGAAGGCATTTTGGAGAAGGAGCTCGGGGAAATTCAAAAGGTTATGTTGTCTATGCAGGTATAGATTTTTCGATTTCTAAACTTGGTAGGATGATGACTGATAATGGTGTTGGAAACTAGCACTTATCATAGCTTATGTCTTGAGATGATCGCTGCTCAAAAACAAAAACTTCCATTTGTTTCTTTCTAATTTTCTCGAACATCTTCCTTTTATGCACTAGGTAAGAATGAATTTGATTATTACTTTTGACAAGGAAAATATCAATCCCTTTCCTTTCTAATTGTTACAATTACAACAAAAAACCGTACAACCGAGTATGTGAAAGGCCTAATGATAAACACATTGTTCTCAAAATATGAAGGAACCAGTTAAAATATCGAACTTGTTTTTGGCTAGTTAAAATATGACTTGAGTTCGACTCCTTAATTATATTAAACTAAAGACTTTGGACGATTACATTCTATTAGTTCGGTTTTATTTGATTGTATATATGCACCCTTCCATGGGTTTCGAATGTTCCTTGTTTTTTAGGATGCCATAGTCGGATAGGGAATGCTATACAAAATGTGCTCTTTTGTGTCCCCAATTTATATATATATTTCGTTGTTTGGATTGAAGATTAATCTGTTTTGGACTGTGAGATGAGCTCAATTGTTTTTACTATTTTTCGGTCTTCAATTATGCAGTTTTCACCGACGAACTTCGGTTATGCATGAACATGGTGTTAATCAACTTCAATACCTCTCTTGATTATCTGTAGGAGCAACAGCAGAAACAACTCGAGCTCATTCTTGCAATAGGGAAAGCTGGGAAATTCATTGCAACCGAGCACAAAAAATGTCAAGAACAGAAACTGAAACTCTCCGGGACATCCAATCTCCAAGCAGATGGATTACAAAATCTAGAAATCGACCAAGTTAAAAGAACAGAGAGTTTGACATAGTTCAATGGTGGGAACAGATGTTTCTCTTCTTGATGCTAACTGCTGCCTGCAATGGAATTTTTTCACCCTTAATGACGATGGCAAAGGCTGATGGAGCCATTGCGTAGTTTGTCGCACAGTAAGTACTTTGTTACAATGTCTATATCGATTTCTATATTCTGTGCTGTGGAAGAGGCAGAAATCGAACGTTTTTCTTGCACAGTTGCTGCTTATAAGATGATAGACAAAACTATTTACTTTTTGCCGGATAATTGTTAAATTGAGTATCCTAATATATAGATTGAAGATAGTACAGTGAGCTAATGTCATCTGAATCGTGTCCTTCGTAACGTTCTTAGTAACATTGCATTTGTTGAAATCTCTAGTTACTCTGCATACATTTTTACCAAGTTCATTCGAACATGATCAATACTCAATACAGTCACCATGATTATGATATTTTAAGAAAGAATTTGGACTTTTAATCTAAAACCAATCGGTAATAGGTGTGTGCCGTTTTAAGATCTCACATTTTCTCGAACATGGGATATATTAAACAGTATACAAGCAAAAATAAATATTAGAAAGAAGCAAAACAAACTTACAACTCCTATTCCAAAACGAGAATCAAACCACAAATCTTTTCTCAAAAAAATAAAAAATAAAATGAAATAAAATCTAGCTAGCTTACTACAATGCAGCTAAAAACATCGAAGATCAAAAAAAAATAAACAGATGATCATCACTGGCTAGCCATATGTACATCAGCATCACTCTTGATCACCTCATGTCTTTTGCTCGTATTATTATTAGTATTACTCTTCCGTGAGAATATAGAGCTTGACGTCGACGACGACGACGATGCCGACGACGCCTTATGCTTCTTCGCCTTACTTCCGAACAAGAACGCTCGCAGAGGTATCCTCATTTTCGACGCGTTCTCTAGCTGCTCGCTAATGCCGAAATCCTCGCTAAGTTGCCGTATCGACTTGTCGATTTCCAGCCGCAGAATCTTGACATGATCCAAACATGTCTGAAGCTCCTCCCGAACCTTGTTGTTCTCTTGCTGCAGACTCACAATCTCTCCTTGCAGCTTCGCGGCCTGCAGGCTACTGAACTGAATCTCTTCCTCCTCGCCGTTCTCACCTAAAGCTTTTCCGAGCTCGTCTTGAACGCTTTGCAGCGACGCCGACCTGTTTTCGAGCTCGTCTTTTAGCGACACGTTCTGATCCAACCAGACCGATAGCTTGGTCTGAATTTCCCTCAGGTGGTTCCTGATCGCCCTAACGTCGGATTTTAAGTGCGACGACGAGCTCCCGTCGGGTTTCCTCTTCTCCTTAAGCTTCCACGCCTCGTTCTGCAGGTCGTCGACCTCAGTTTTGAACTTCCGGACTTGATGGTACGCCGTGCTGAACTTTAGCCAGAAGTCGAGGTTCTCTTCGAGTATGGCGTCAATGTCTGACCGGATTTTCAACTCGGATTTTGTGAGGGATGGGAGTTTCTCGAATGTTATTTCTTCGGTCATTTTGTCGTTGTCTGTTTCCAAGATCGATTCGATGTCTTCACCGTCTTGTAATGAGCTTTGCAGGTGTCGTCGAAGGATTTGGATTTCTTGATCGCGCTTGAGTATGGCTTTTCGGAGCTCCCGCATTCGGAGCGTCTCGTTGAATTGGGCGTCGGTTTCTTTCTTCTCCATTTCGTGGAGCTTCCGCTTTAGATCCTTGTAGTTTCGGAGGATCGCCGTGTATTCTTTTAGTAGGATCGTTTCGCGATCCTCGACTCCGCTTAAGAGTATCTGTTGCCAGCTCATGTCTTCGCTCCTCGCCGCGGCGGGTTTCTCAGATTCGACTTTCTCCGGGGGCGGGATCGGATGGATCGACGACGCCGTCTTTTTAGTCTCTTTTCGAAGTTGCTCTGTTTCGGGCTCTGTTTTTGGCTCCAGTTCTGTTTTCGATTCTGGCTCCAGTTCTGTTTTCGATTCTGGCTCCGGTAGTACTTCCGGTTTCGATTCTTCAATTTTCATCGAATCGATGTCGGAAGCTGTGACGAAGCTTTTCGCATCCTCGTCCACTTGAGCTACTACATCTTTGTTGTCGCCATCATCCTCGACCTTATCCTCGACTTTTTCCTCAGACTTGGCGACTTCCTCGAGGTTGTCTTGCGACTCGCTCTCCTCTGTCTCGTCTTCGAGCTTTACGCCACTAACCTGACCTGAGAGGTTTCCGAGGCTCGATCGAGCCTCGACCATGTCCTTCTGGATGTCGATATGCTGGCTTTCGACGTTTCGATTCAGGTCGTGAAGATTGCTTAGCTTCTCCTCCATCTCCTTCACCTTCATCCTCAAGGCGGCCGCGTCTTCGATCAATGTGCTCTTTTCGTCCTCCAGCCGATGTATCTGCGCGTGGAGTTCGTCGGCCTGCCTCGTCAGCATGTCGACGAGGGCGTTGTGCGTCGACACCGCCGTCTCGAGGCTTAGCACTTTGTTCACCAAATGGTCGATTTTTTCTACCATTTGGGAGACGGTTATGTTCACTGCCATGATCGCGGTTACGCTGTCGGCGCTGTCCTTATTAGGCTTTTCTGATGGTGGGGTTGATGCTTCGATTGCCTTTGTTTCTTGTACTATTAACTGAGTTACGTCTTTGCCGGAATTTTCGCCGGCGCCGGCGTCCGGATCGTCGTCGAGGTACTTGTCGCGGAGGGATTTGACTCGATTGCAGGCGGTTTCGATTCGGGTGTATTCTTGACGGGCTTCGGAGATTAACTTGTCTTGTTTATCTTGCAACATTGTTAAGGTTTCTTCGCAGGTTTTGAGGGCGGCCTCCGCCATTAATGTCCGGGCTTCGTCGTCTTCGATGACGGCGCCGACATTGAACTCGTCCTGGAGCTCCAGGACCCGGTGCTGCATATCCATGATCTGGTTCTCGATTTCCCAGTACTTTGTGACGCCATTTTCGTAGGAGCTTTTGATGAATTCCTTCACCGTTTGCAGGGCCAGGATCTCCTTCTGAAGCTTCTTGATTTCCTCCAAAGCTTCCTCCTTGCTCAGCCCTGATTTCGGTTGGTTTTCGCCTTCCGACGATCTCTTGCTCTTGAACGGCGACGGCGGCGGAAGCGCCGCCCTCGGCGACGCGGTGGCGGGGGGGATCGGAGTCGGTTTCCAGTCGGGGTGGGGCGGCGGAGCTTCGGGAATGGTGGGAACGGGGAAATTGGGTTTTCCGGCGCCGGCGGCGATGGCGGCGGCGGAAGGGGGGTTTTTGGGGAAGGGGAAGTCGTCGTCTTCTCCGATGCCGAACTGGACTTGCTCCGGGAAGACGGTGGCGATGGTGTGGTTGGCGTTCTGGAGGTCTTTGGACAAGAGGTCGTAACGGTCGGCCAATGCCCGGAAGGATTTGAAAGCTTCTTCGACGGAGGAGATGAGCTCCGGGCGGCGCTTGTAGTACATCTCGGCCCGCTTGGCGAAGGAGTCGCCGTCGTCATCGATGATTTTCAGGATTCTTTTGACCTTCTCCTCCATGTCTGTGAAATGGACAGGGAAATGAATCGTCATCAATTATATATAAATCCATGGAATGGAATTATGATACCTTGGAGGCATTGTTCGAGCCATTTGGATTGCTTGGTGCGGATGTGGCTGGCCCACCACCATGAATACGCATTGCTTGCAGCTCTCTGCAACATGATGATGATGATGATTGATCTATCTGTTTATCGATGGAAGGTAGAAAGTCTTCCTCCTCCTCCTCCGGTGACCTGCAGATTTCACATTTCATTCATTACTGATGAAAACAGAAGAAAGAGAAAGAGTTTGGACAGATGTAATTCTGTTTTCTTCTTTTGGTTTTGGGAATTTGTGAGTGAAGGAAGGAAGGAAGGAAGAATGGTGCGACGGTACGTGTGATGGGATTAGTGGAAACGAGGATTTATCGGCCCCCGTTCACCTACTGTTTGCACAACATACGCTCCAATAATACTAATTATTATTATTTTATTTTATTTCGAATTTTGTGTACTTTTAAAATTTGTCTCAAATTTCGGTTTCATAGACTATTTCTAAATTTTTAGACCGTCTTATTTAAGAGTATTTGACTTAAATATATTTAAAGGTCGAATAAATTTTAGAATTTTAATTTTTAAACTGTTAAAATTAGAAATATATTTGTTTTTTAAATATATTTAGTCTAAAAAAATAATTATTTTTTTTTTCAGGTTTTAAAAGTTTGTTTTTATTGTTTTTTAGGCTAAATATAAGAAAAATAAATATATTTTGCAATTTTAAAGATTTAGAAATTAAGATTCTAAAATTTATTTGCATGTTGAGCGCATTTAGATCAAATAGCGTTGAATAAGAATCGTCGAATGAGTTAAACGCTGAGTTTATGAAACAAATTTGAAACAGTTTTAAAAGTACTAGAATTTGAAGCAATTTCATAAAACTACATGTAAATTTTGTGCAATTTAGCCATTAATTATATGTTTTTTTATTATTAAATTTATACATAATTCTATAAATAATTTGGTTTATTTAGAATTTTATTATTTCTCTTTAGTAAAATTTATATTTTAATTTTATATTAAAATATTGTTAATTTCTACTTTTATTATGACATAGAGTAATAATAATAATAACAATAGAGGAATAGTATTTATGAACGTGAAGTGCACACCTTTCCAATTCTGCATGGAGCTGGCATCTATGCTTTTCCTCCATCACACGTTATTACATCATTACCATCGTCATTTTCAAATTATTATTATTATTACTATTATTATTATTATTATACATTTTAATTTTTTTTTAATTTTTAAATTTATAATTTTTTAAAAAAATTTAACTAAATTAATAATTATTTCTTTAATATATAATTATTTATATTATAAAATTATTATTTTTACTAACATCATATCCATAAAATATTTTAATTTAAAAATTAAAATAGTCACGCACGATAATATTAATAAGAAAACACACACAAGGCTCTTGTTTTGATTTATGTGGGTGCTATTATTAATTGTAAAAATTTGTTTTAAACTTAATTGTGTGTTTGTTTTATTATTTCAAATTAAAATTTTCACTATTCATTTTATACAATTTTCAATAAAAATATATTATTAGCTCTCAAAAAATATTATACTATTATCAAAATATTATTTAAATAAAAATTTGAATCAATTTCAAATCACAATTTAACAAATAGAAAGATATTTTTAGATTAAAATATATTGAACCAAATAGAAATATATTAAACAGCAATTTCAACCATTATAATGTTCTTAAAACTTGAATGATAACTAGTAATGCTATTAACAAATGTTGAAAGATCTAAGTTGTTGGATAGTAAAAAAAAAATCTAACATATCAGATTAATTTTGCAAATAAAAATATTAATTTTTTTATTAATATTAATTATGCTTTAATTTAATTATTTATAAACTTAAAGTAATTATTATAAATATAAAAAATATATCATTATGCATATTGTTTATATTTGATGTGAAAATCATTTTACACGCACACAAAATTCTTATTCCCTCAAAATTATTCAATCAAAAAAAAAAAAAAATTATAATTATGTAAAACTATAGATTGATTTGAAAAAGAATTTGTAATACTTAAAAATAATGAAAATAAGTATTACATTCAGAGAACTTCGCGAAGATAAATTTTTAAAATAATTTTATTTCGCATCGTATGTTGATTCTACCAGCAGCATATGAAAAAAACACAAAATAACATTTTCATTTTCGACGTTTCAATCTATCATTATTTGTGTTTTTGTGGAAAATTGAAAGTATTATTTGGAATATGATTATTTCAAAAATTCATAATGAATGTATTTACTTGTAAGATGTGTGGCAGGATTTCATTTAAGAATGTATTAATAAAAATAATTATTCTATAATAAAAATAAATTTAGATTTAAGATTAAAACAACTAATTGATTTAATTAAAATTAAAAAATTTAAAATGTGATTAAGTGTACAATTCATTTCCAAAAAAGAAAAGTGATAAAATAAATAAGACGAGCGAAAATAGAAAGATAGACCTTATAAGTGGGACTATGGAGTATTTACTTGTACGATGTATTATCTTAAAAACTTCTAATCTGCAAACATTCATAATATTTTTTTCTTATTTTTGTTATTTCAAATCTTTACCTATTTATTTAAAATAATTTTTTTCTTTAAAAAAATATATTACATTTAATTTATTTCATAAAAATTATAATCATATATTCTTTCCGTTTCACAAGAGATGAGCAATTGTGGCAGGAATACAATATTTTAGGTAGTGTAGATTAGTAAATTATTATATTAATTTATTATTTTTTATATAAATAGTATTGTTAGTATTTTAAATATTTTTAGTATTATATCTAAATAAAATATATAATATGAATATCAGTTTATGGATAATAAAATTTTATATAATACAAATAAATAAATAAATAAATTTATTTATTTATAATTACCTTTAAATTAATTTTATAAAAAATAAAAATTTTTAAATATAAATAAAAATATTTGTTTATTGGGGAGAGATATAGAAATAAAGGAGTTTTGAGTGAATCTTACGTATAAAAAGTTAAAAATTTAATTAAACTGATTTATATATGTTAAGTATGTTTAACATGAATAAATTTACTAAAAATAAAAATAAGTCATCTTTTATGAGACGAACAAATATAGAAAAAGAATCATCGTCGCGGAACGGAGGGAGTACTAAAATTTTAACTAAATAGAACGATAGTTTGACAAATCACATAACAAAGACCTATCTTCTCTTTCTCGGGTACTCCTACAAGTAACTGATGAAGAATATCGATTTGAGTGTCATGCTTAATCTCATCTAAGCCGTTGGATCGTAAAAGAAATCAACATACTAGATTAATTTTATTAATAAAAACATCAATTTGTCATTAATATTAATTATGATATTAATATTTTTACTTATAAACTTAAAGTAATTATTATAAATATGAAAAATATATTATTATATACATTATTTTCTATTTGATATGAAAAATCATTTCACATGCACATAAATTTCTTATTCCCTCAAAATTATTCAATCGAATAAGAAAATCAAAATAATTATAATTATACAATCTATAGATCGATTTGAAGAAAATTTTTACGTGCTTCAAAATAATGGGAATGAATATTACATTTACAGAACTTTAAACTCTAACAAGTTTTTACTTCAAAGACAAATTTTTAGACAATTTTATATGGCATCATATATTGATTCTACAAACATCATATTAAAAAACACAAAATAACATTTTTATTTTAGATGTCAATCTATCATTATTTATCTTTTTGGGGAAAATTGAAAGTATTATTTGAATATGACTATTTCAAAAATTCATGGTGTATTGTAGGATTTTATATCTATTTTTCTTTTTAAATTTAAAAACTTCTCAATTTGAAACAAAATAAATAAAGAAAATATAACAATAGATCGACATTATTTTTAAAAAATATTTATAGTCCCTGTGCCCGTAAGAAGAGTATCATTGACTTTCCATACATAGATTTTTTAATACTAGTATTATATTGATTTGTAGTAAAAACGACAAAAATAGTACCCCTAATAATATTATGTAATATGAAAGTAATAATATTTATACAATATATTGTAAATTGTAAGAGAATTTATTATATTAAAAAACAACACTCTTATTTTGGGAAACGAACATAAATAGAAAATAGTAACATTCTCTGTGGGACGGAACATTTAAATTGTACAACATATATTTTTTATATGAAACAACATTATGTTGTACTATAAAAAAATATGTGTTGCCTTGATTATATATGTTGATTAGGTTAAATCAACACGGTGTTGATTTGACCCAATTAACATTATAATTACTAACAAAAGAATTATATAAAAATAATAAGAGATGATCTTAAAAAAATGTATAAAATAGTTGATAAAAAATTGCATAATGTAAACTTTTTCATATGAATCTTTAAGCTTAGAGATAACAAATTCAAAAGCAAATAATTCATCTACAATATGTGTACGATGAGACAAATTAAAATAGAATTCTTACAATTGATGACGGTTTGTATGGGGTCTACCTTTTACCGCATCATTGTTTCTTTTCTTCCAAATAAGTAGCCTCATTTAGTATGTCAGTTGCTTTCTTATACATGTCAAGCGCAAAGGCCACGACCTTCATGTAAAATATTGTGTACTATTCCGTGTAGATGCATTTATCTTACATTGCATCACGGATAAAGCATCAAGCTGATCACATGAGGTACCAAGGCTACAATTGTACAACATGCATGAATAGTTAGAGAAATCATAGTACCCACATCTATGAATTGAGAATAACAATTAATAATAGTTATAAAATCTTTGTAACGGAATGTCAAGTCACTTGTTGAATCCAATATCTCTCATTTGTTTACCCCATTCTTGACAACTCGTTGGATCTTTCTTTGTCTTTGTAATCTTGCATCACCAAAAATTGTTAAATAGCATTGATCATCTATATGTAAGTATGCATCACTTATAGTGAAAGTGGTTGTGGTAGCGTGAAGGGTACTTTTTCATGCTTTGGAATTCCTAACATCAAACAAAATAGAACTTCAGGTTTATTTTGCAAAGCTTATAGTTTAGTAAGATGATCTTTGAATGTCAATCACTTCTTTAGTATGTACTACAAACACTATGAAGTAAGATTAAAAACCATTATAGCCTTTTTAGTAAAGAAATTCTTCTACAAATGAAAATTCATTATGCGACGAATATTTCTTTCTCATATCATATCTAGCTACAATAATCTAGTGCTTCAGCTATATATAAAGCAACTCGTAATCGCATAGTTCACTCCAGAATTTTATTCTCCCAGTGCAATAAATGTTTAGCGAGAATATTTTTTAGGCATAAATTTACAACGAGCAGCCATTCATCTTCATCGCAATAATACCCTATCAAATTCATCAGTTGCTCATGTCTTAGCTTCCCTACTTCCTTCGCTTCCTCTGCAAACTATGTAGGATCAGACGACACTATTTTAGTGAATTTCTTCACAATGATTCAGTGGTTGTCTTAAAGACAAAATTGTTAGTCTTCTCCCTGTTGTAAGACATGATGATATTTTCCGAACTGAAATTGTATGTCGTTGCCTTAATCTCCACTACTAAGTACTCCGCAAATCTTCCGCTGATTGGTCTGTTGACGGAAGAGAAGCAGCGGTGCCTCTGCTCCCATCTGTCTACTTAGTGAATAAATCATTGTTAGTCTCATTAAATATAAAATGTCCTAAGTTGATGTGGCTATAAAAATCAATTGATTTTTCAAGTTTAAGAGTGTTTGAATGAATTGTATTTTTTCATTTAATAAATGATAAATTTGAAACTATAATAGAAATATATATTGTTACCTTTGACGGTGTTACTCTTAGTTTTAAACAAATATTATTCATAATATTATATTTAATGAACATGAAATGATTTGTTTGAATAAAATTTTGTCTTATTTCTACTTATAAAATTGATAAGCTTTAAATAAAGTAGATTTTGATACATTTTTTTTTAAAAGTGATTGGAAATGATTTTTCTAAAAATTTGGTACTTTTCAAATGAGTTTTACAACTACCTAAACCATCTCTAAATCTAAAATTAAAAATAAATGTTGTTATTCTATTTTAAATTATAATAGAAGTGTTGGTTTTCACTTGATTTAATCAAACTGTTGTATAAATTGCCGGGAAAAAAAATTGTATTTTTTTTTATAGAACTTCGAGCCGAAATAGCTAGGCAAAACCTAGAGCTTTTTTTTACCGTAATATATATGAATGACATTGTTAATCAATTCAAATGTTACAATATTAGATAAATAGGTAAATATTTAAGTGCTCAAGTTTATATAAAATTTTTGAATTATGCATAGATTTTAAACATGCATATAGAAAGTGATAATGATAAAGATTCATCTAAATTGTTTTGAAGTAGCAACATATATTGAAAAAATGATTATGCATTTTAATATGAAAGATTTCAAAATATTTGTATACCATTACCATCATATTATTCCTTAAGTAAAAATAAATCATCTAAAACTATGGGTGCTTTCCAAATATATAAAAATTAATGTAGTAGTTTATGTTATGTACTTAATTATTATTACTAGGTCTAATATTGCTTATAATGTGAATTTTTTAAACTGGTTTATACCTAATTTTGATTTAAAATATTTATATACTTTAAGTTGCTATTGAAATTCTGTGTAGAAAACATCATTAGTGAAGGGTTAAAAAGCACTATGGTTAAAAAATGTGTTGAATTAAATTGATTTATTTGTTGGTGATGTTATTGTATATTCTAATAGTCATTTTAGAATATAATATTTTCAAAGACCTTGTTTTGATGACAAAACCAAATACACAAATGTTATGTTTCATTTTATTTGTGTTTTTCATTGTAAAAACTCTTGTTAAAATATCGGGAATTCTTTTTATTTTTTTATTTTTTTTGATTTAAAATAAATAGTGTTTTAGGTAACACTTTTTCTTTTTTTATCTGATGGTAAAAAATATTGCAATACTTTATGAAAATGCAACCAATTTTTGCTAAATTAGACCGTTAGGAACCAAATTGGGCCTTTGTGAAGATATGACTATAACAACGGATGAGCATATGTTAATATAATACAAATACATCACATGAACGAAGAACACAGGTTATAGTCTCAACAGCACATCGTGTGTTATCTGACAGCACATAATATTATTACAGATAGCATATTGTATATGTTAATATTATACAAATACAACACATGAACTAACAACACATATTACAGTCTCATACAACACACACAACAGTTGATTTTAGCACATGACATACTCTTGTACAACACACTTGTTATTATAAAAAACAGCACATACCTTTATTATGCACAACATGTGTTATATATAATAATATGTGTTGTTTATACATATAACATGTGTTGAGTTGAAAAATCAGTATGGTGGTGATTTTTTTCAATTCAGCACCCTAACAATCCCGATGTTGATAATATAAAAATTAATATTTTGTGTTGAATGGTTGAGTTTTATTAGTGAATAATATATAGTAGTATTATAATACCCCCAAGAGTTGAATAGTGATATGAGTTGGGGAGGATGAAATACCCCCGAGGTTGAATAAGAGGTTAAATGGATTGAATAAACTACTTATGTCAACAATGTGCACATTTTTTTTTTTGGAAGCCTTACTGAAAGAACTTTAAAGTTAAGCGTGTTTGCTTTAGAGTAATTTGAGGATGGGTGGACCTAACAGTTGATGGATCATTGGGGTGCAACGTGGACGTTGCATTCTTAAATCGGAGAGGATGTAATACTTGATTGAATAGAGTACTCATATCAACAATGTGTACATTGTTTTTCGGAAACCTTACTGAAAGAAACTCTAGAGTAATTTGAAGATGGGTGACCCTGTTAAGTCTTTTAGAGTGCGCGTAAGTGAGGACTGTGTGGGAAAAACTCGTGTTAACCCGTGGCAGCATTTTACGATCCCGACACTCTCAACGGGGTGTGAACAAGGCGGAGTTATTATATTATCTTAAAATTTAGGTTGTGTGAGGATGTGATTTCAAACAAAAATTATCATTATTATCAATAAAAATTTATTATTATTTTTTATAAAATATCATATTTAAATATTATCTAAATAAAAATTAAAATAACATGTCATTTCAAATAAAAAATTATAAATTATAATTAATACATTTTGAACACTAGTATATAAGATATTTCTTTCATACATTTTGTTTATTTATTATTATTTATTTTTAAAAATTACAAAATTGCAAAATTCTATATACGTAAGAAAACTATATTTGATCGATTAACCATAAAGTAGCTGCCAAATATTGATCACAGATGAGTGCGTGTGTGGATAAAAAAGAAATAAAAATTAAACCAAGAATGCAACTTTTGTGCAGAGACAAACTTGTACTCTTGCATGAGTACTTTCGAATACAAAAGTAATCTAATCATATCATACTTTGGATTGACGATAACAAACATACAGACAGACAGACAACCAGACAAACATTGCGATCGATCCAAACAACACTCACCATTTCCTAAGCAAAGAACAAAACCTAAGAAGAAAACACGAGGCAGAACTTACTACTACTTTATATTATGTATGCATACAATCAAATCAATCCATCATGCTTCTTCCTTAACAAGGTAGCCGATCGTCTGCGCCGTTTTTCGAACTAGCCGGCGGCGAGGTTTTTTTTTCTGTTCTTAAGTAATAACGAGAAAAGCTTGGGAAACTTTAAGGCTAGCTCTTCTCATTGTTTGTTCTGCAATGCCTGCAGAGTAATATATATATATACACACACACATTAGGACAACATCAGTTGTGATTCACACCATTGCTTGCCTGAAGAAGACAGCCGGGGATCGATCGAGGGGGTGGCCGCGCTTCACTCCATAACAAGCTCCATGTGGCGGTTTAAGTCCTTGAGGTACGTCGAAGATGTATAGCCCTCAACGTCGCAAGTATCGAATAGCATTGTTCTTTCGGTCGCGGATCTTTGATTCATCTCTATGCCCTCGTGCGTTCCCTTCAGCAGCTGCACAACCTGAGAATCGGAACATATTTGTTTGTTTTTTATGCAAGAATCGATAAGAGGATAGATCATCGATATATATATAAATGACGGCACATGATTTTCTCAAGAAAAGCATCGTTCAAATCTCCAGAAAGCACAGTTCAAGAGTTCAGATAGCAACGATTAAGAGTCCATATAGCATATATATGGGTGTGTTTGTTTGAAGGATTTTGGTGGATTTCCACTATTCATCTAATTTTTTCTCCCCAAAAACATCAAATCAAACACCTATTTTTTATTTTTTATATTATACTAAAAATCAATTTTACTTTCAAAACATCACATCAAACCCTATTTATATCACATCATACAACTATTCAAATTTAAAATTTTTACTATTCAAATCCCAACTCAAAATCCAAACCCCCAAACAAACACACCCTATATTTAAAACGTATATTTTCTGAACTCTTTTATCAAATACTCTTTGGATTCTTGATCGGTACTTTATCCATTTTTGAATTGATGCTATTTAAAGAACTAACAATATACTCAAACATAATATATACTACGTAAAGCACCAGACATATTTCTATAAAATACTAAACATATTTCTATAGAGCACTAAACATACTTTTCTAGAGTATCAATTAAAAAATGTAGACAGATAGCACACGTGCTTATATAGCACAGTACTATCTGTACTAAAAATTGATGCTAAATGCTCATTCAATATGTGTGTTTTTTTTAAAGAAATTAGTATTATACTGATTTTTTCAAATCAACACTGTAACGGAATCTTATATATATATTATATGTATCGTTTGTACCCCCGTCATGTTTGGTCGCATATTAGGCAAGTGGTTGATGCAAACAGAGGCTGTGTACATGGCGCGCTTCATTTCGACAACATCGTAGGAATCTCCTAGTCGAGGATCTGCTATTTCCTTAACATTGTTTTGATCGAGATGGGGCTTCGCCTGGAGAATCAGAAGTGCAAATAAGCCGCAAGATTTGAAGGGAAAGAATAGATATGTTCTGTCCGACTCTTACCCATATTGCGAGGCTTTGCCGGCTGGAATCAACTGCACGGCGACCTGTAATAAGCTCGAGCAGGAGAACTCCAAAGGCAAATACGTCGCTCTTCTCGTGAACTATCCCGTGCATGAAGTACTCGGGAGCCATGTACCTGAATGTAAGATTCGAACATTAGCCGGCAAAACATTGCAATAGATAAGAAAAATCTGTTTTCTTACCCAAAAGTGCCTTCAATTGGCGAAACAACGATGTTAGCCCAATTCTCCGGCAGCCATTTCGCCAGCCCGAAATCGGATATCTGCACACGATTCAACAGAGACTAAGCTCGTATTTACAAAGATCGTGTGATGCGCGAAATTTTCACATTTGCAAACCTCGGCCTGGTAATCTTCAGACAGCAGTATGTTCGAGGCTGTTATGTCTCGATGAATTATTCGCCTTTGACAGCCACAGTGCAGATACTCTAACCCCTCGGCAATTCCAACCGCCACTTTGTATCGAATTTGCCAGTCCATACTGTCTTCATCGGAACCTGCAACACCGTTTCGCTAGTCAGGACAAGAAACAACAATTGTTCCTGTAATAAAAAGCTAAGCATGTCACCGTGCAGCGCAGTTCCGAGACTTCCGTGTGGTGAAAACTGGAGGACAAGAAACAAGCCCCTGTCGCAACCGAAACCGATCAGTTTTGCAGCATTCGGATGGTCAATGTGTGCAAGAATCCCGAGCTCAGTCAAGAAATCGCGAATCTTATCCTCGTTATTTTTTTGCTCCTTTATTATCTTCTTCACGGCGACAACTTGACCGTCCGACAAGCTCCCTTTGTACACTTCGGCGTGCCCTCCTTTCCCGAGCAACTTATCTGATTATAAAAGACAAGCCGGATGAGAAAATACAAAAATTTTCCAAGACAAGTTTTTTGTCTGTTCCAGACATTCATTTGACAATTTTAGAACAACTTTTGTTGTCTGGAAAATGTATATTCAGTTCGGTGGCGGCCACAGTGTTAAATTTATAATTCAGCATTGTGCTTGAACAACAAACTATGTGATAACAAACAACACAATGTATTAGTTAGGCAGCATACCTCTTGTATTACTATAATACAAATAAAACACATAAACTAACAGCATACCATGTAATAAAAATAGCATACTTTATTACTTCTTGCAGCACATCCCTTGTATTAATATAATACAAATACAACATATAAATTAACAGCAGATGCTATAATAGTTACAACAGCACATACAACAGTTGTTTTTTAGCACACATATAATTATGAACAAATAGCACATGCCTTTATTACACACAACATGTATTGTATATAATAAAAACATAGGTTGTTTGTATATATTATAGGGGTTGATTTGAAAATTCAGCAAATCAGCGCCGTAACTATTCGCATTAACTTCAACCTCACCCATATGGGTTAAAATTATGGTCCATGATCATGACTGATAATTTATATCTAATTCAGCATTTTGATCAATCAGCTGCCCTAATATACGCCAAATTCTTGTTTGTCTTATCAGTAGCAGGAAAGAATTCAATTCTGGAACTAGTGGTACCTCTGATAAAGATAACATCTACTAACTAACTACCCTGTGTCAACTTCAGACAGCAACCATGGATGCAAGAAGTCAAAGAAAAGCACCCAACATTAAACACTTTTCAAAGAATACCAAAATTGTAAGACTACACATCTACACTACTATTCATTTCCCAAGTTATGACCACTTTCTTGTAAGAGGGGAAAATGAAATTCGTCAGAGAAGTGGGGTAGGTGATGCCATATTGCCATGGCTTTATTACCCCACCCAACTCTTTATTGCAAGAACTCAGCTATCCATTGAAACATGGCAGATTATCGTGTCTCTGAAAGCTCAAAGACATTATTGCAATTGAAATCTATGGCTTCCGTGCCATCAACACTGCTAGGAACTATAATTTTGAAATAGACCTAAAATGTGGTGAGACAACCTTGGAGATTTTCAATTCGTTGGATCAGGATGTAATGAAATTTGTTGTAAAAGAGGAGAAGAGACTCACCGGGGCTGAAATCATCTGTGGCTTGTTTGAGTTCATCGTAGGTGAAGTTCCTCCACGACGGTTTGGGCATCACGAAATCGCCGCAATCGAGGGCGTCGACCGACACTCGGCTCCTCGACTTCTTCCCCGACTTTTTGGACAGATTATAACCTGCGAGGACAGGAATGTTCGAGAATCTCCATGTCGGCGACGACTTCTTAACCTGCCCTAGCAATTTCTTCCAATTCAAATTCCCGTAGCTCCAATCGGCTTCGGCGGTGGCGGCCGCCGCTTTCTCCGCCGTCTCCGGTGACTTTTCGCCGCCGAAGCTGCTGCTCCGGCTGTCCATTAGGCTGCCGCTGTTGTCCGAATCCGAACCCGACACGTGTACCTCCAGAATGCCACGTGGAGATGATTGCTCCTCCATTTCTCCCGCGCCTCTATCTTCTTCTTCTTCCTCTTTCTCCTTCCTGACATAATCCCTTTCCTCATGTTCGAAAGCTCCTAAAAATTAAAAATAAAAAATTACACAACCACAGAAAACATCAAATCACGAAAATCAATTTGAACACAAAATCATATCTATTACCTTCCATCGCAATAAGCAGATTCTCCCTAACCCAAACGATGGAAAAAAGAGCTCAACAAAAAAGCAATTCTCCTTCCTTCCTGCGCTCGAAAAATATTCTCAGACACTGTAAGAATTTCGGTGAATTCAAGAATGTTTCGCTACCTCCGATTCCCTGCTCCGACCAGCAACAACCGACGGAGAAGAGAGACAGAGAGAGAGAAAGAATGAAGGTAGGAATTAATAATGTGGCAAGGAAGGATGGTGGAGATGTTTGAAGACAAACAGAGTGAGTGAGGAGATGAGAATGAGAGGGAAAACTGAAAAGTAGCTACCAACGAATGAATGAATGGTCAATGCAAATTTCTCTGTGTCTGTATATATATATATATATATATAGATAATATGTGTGTGTTTTTTTAATTAATTAATTAATTAATTATTGAATTAGTTATTTAGGCGATGAGGTGATGAAATCTGGGCCGTTGGTTGATCTTGGCGCAACTACCTCATTAACATTTAACAGCAACCTTAACGAACACAACGGACAAATCTTGGGGTTATTATTCGCGAGGGTGTTTTCGTAATTTTTATTTTCGGTAATTTTCTATTTAATTATTTATTTTTATTATGAAGCACGACTGGCGAAATTCACGGCTTCGGTTTACCGTAGAAATGATAATGAGAGCTTTAATAAACTGTGGTTTGTGTTGGAAATTAAAATTAGTTTGTACAATTTTTTTTTTTAGTATTTTTTATTTTTAAATTTTAAAATTTAATAATTACTGAGTGTAATTTTATAAATAAAAAATAAAAATTGTATATAGAATAAAAAATAAACCATATATGCTATTGTTTTATTTTTCAAATTGATTTCTATATTATTTCTTCTCACAATTTTTAATAAAAAATATACTACTTATGTTCCATAAAATCAGTACTAATTTGTCTTTTCGGCATCGTACTTAACATTAAAAATATTTTTTTATATTTGTATAATTTACTTCACAAATCTCATTGTATTTGTACTACATATTGATATCATAATTAATATTTAAAAATATTTATCTAGAAAGCTCGAGCACTCTTTGCAATGCTTTGAGGTTTGGAGTTTAAATTCCCATGAATTTTCATGGATATCTCTAATTCATGATATATATTTCTATTATTTGTATATCTTCCTAACAAATATTGTATTTTTTAATTGATTCTAAATCTTGTATTAATTGGCAAATTAGGTAATTAGGAAATTAATGTTATTTTCTTTTTTCTTTTTTTTTTTTTTTTTTTTTTTTTGGCGTGCAAGTTCAAAATCAATATATGGGTCAAACTCTTGTGATAGTTCGAAAGGTAAATTGCCTATTTGAGGTTTAATCTCTGCATTTTTATTATTTTTTCTTTTTTGTATTTTTTTTTTATTTTTGCTACTCTTATTTTTCCTGGTCTCTAGTGTCATCTTCATTTTGGCCTTCATGTTCCCTTAAAAATTAGTCTCTAGTTAGTAAGAGTTATTTGAATTCTACTAATTTCGAGTCATTTGATTTCTTATATTATCGTTTACGAAAACAACCAATTTTATCATTCTCAAAAAATTTGTTGATGGCAAATAAACTATTTTATTTGGTTAATTTTGATATTTGAGGTCCTTTTTTATATTCTCTCTTGCATCCATATCGTTATTATTCTTTTGAAATAATCTTCAGAATTACCTAATTTTTCTTTTTTTTTTTTTTTCCGTGATTAGAAAGGTCTTCCAACTAGTTTGGTTCCTTCAAATCTTCATGCACAAAATTACCAAATATTTGACCATGAAGCTACTCATTTAACTTGCTCACAAATACCATAATAGCATAAGGATCCATCAAAGTACAAAGAATCCATCAAAGCTTGATTGAAATAAATAAATACTTTCATTAAATTGAGTGCAAATTCTTAGATAAAAATAAAAATAAAAATAAATAATGATTGGATTTTCCAAACATATATGTTCCATTATTGCTCTACATGGTGAATAGTGAAGCAAATGTGTATATTATTGTGAGGACCTACAAATAGTTATTGCATTTTGTGTTATGTGTACTTGTTGTTGTCGCCATTGATTGAGCTAAGTTGTGATATAAGTCACTCCTCATTTAATTATAAAACCAATAATTATATTATGAGCAATTGAATTTTTTGTCCAAAACTTTATTAAAGAATGCATATGCAACATTATTTCTCCTTTTATGGACAATATCGTCGAAAATAATTTAATATATATATATACACATACGTGTGTGTGTGTATTACATGACTTTTCATATATTGAAATAATTTTAGAATAAATCTTATATCATTTATCATTTTTGTCATTTATTTAATCTTGTTGACAAAATATATATTAAATATGTATAAGAAAAAAATAGTCACTTATGTCCTCAAATCGCGTGGAACAACTATTGTGTAAATATTAAAGGTGCTATTGAATAATTTTTTTTATTCAACACAAAATTGTCTCAAATAATTTTTATTATTAATTTATTTTATACCTCTAGGGTAGAAAAGTAGGCTGTGTTTCTTTTACATAAATTTTAAATTTTATTATTTAAATTATTTATTTTTTGAAACAAAAATATTTTCTTTTTCTTATAATTTTTTTTATTAAATATTATTTAAATACACAATTTAAATCAAAAAAATTCTAATCAAACCCAAAGTAACAGACTGGTGTCTCCAAATTTTAGATATAAAATGTTTATATATATATATATATATAAATAATTGTGAGATTGTATATTTAAAAAAATAAAATAAATCATGATGTGTGTTCTCTTTTATTTTTAAATTTATTTACTATATAATATTATAATTTTTTTTTTCTCAAAAGTATAATATTCATTCATTTAGTACTTATTTTTCATGTAAATTTCAAATTTAACAATGATTTCATTTAGTAAAAAAACAAGGGATCAAAGATCTATAGTTTAGTTGGTGAACTAAATCAACTCTTATGGAAAAACTAAAATTAAATAAAATTAAAATCTGAATTTAGAGTCAAAATTTGGTGACTTCACCAACCTCACCAATGTCCCCTTCACAATAAAACAGTTACACCTCTAACTTTAACTAAATTCTTTCAAAGTCCACTCACCCACATTTATTTAATTCTGACAATTATTTATAATTCCATGCAATTTATCTTATTATTATTACTAATCATTTTGACATTTAACTAAGGGTTTGTTTGTTCACTTATTATATTGTTTTTTACTGAAACAATTTTTCATAAATATTATTTTTTAAAAAATACAATATGCAGATACATAAATATATATTTATTCACAAAAAGTTAATTATTTAAAAAAAAATATATTTTTTTATATTATTAACATAATTCTTCGCGTTTCTAATATAAAAAACACATTCATTCAAATTTTTGTCTTATCACTCTCCGGTGTACTAAATCACAAACTCTTGGGATTTGCTTTTTTGTATTTTTATTTTTAATTTTCAAAAGTTTACTATTTAATTTTATAATTCTCAATTAAAAATTTTATGTTTTTATAAAACCAACAAACACACTCAAGTTTGTGTAAAAAATCAAGATTTATATCAGGGCCGTCTTGGAATTTTTTGGAGTCTTGAGCGAAAATAAATTATAGACCCTATAAATATATGATTAAAATATATTTTTCTAAATAATATCATTGATTGACGTCGATTGGACAAGAGGTCTAATATGTGTGTCTAGACAATGTCAATTTGAAAAAAGAAGATGAAAGACGATCTATCCGGAAATTCAAAAGGCGAGAAGGACTGAAGGAGGGTGAAAATGTAAGAGAAAAGGTGGAGCGGATTTGGTCTGAGTTGATGGGCGCAATGCGATAGGATGTAAGGTAAAGAAATGGAGACGAAGATTAAATTTGAAAAGATAGGATCATCGTGATTAGAAAACAATATATGATTAGAGTTTAAAATTTAATTTTAAAATTAAATTGAATAATTATGAAAAAAATATATAAACTAAAAGTTAAAATTTAATAATAATAATAATAATAAATAATATTTTAAAATATAAATTCTCTATTAATTAAGGATCTGAGCAATTGCTCATCTTGGCTCATGCTATAAGCCGCCATGCTAATATATATATATATATATATTCAAAGAGTTGGAATACCGTTGAGTACAGTGAACTAGTAAATTGATTAAGACTCCATTTGGTTCGATGAATTTGGATTTGTGGTGAATTTTTTTAATTGATTTGAATGAATTACTTTAAATTTAAAATATTTCATAATTAAAAATTATCATTCGACAGTACGAAATATTTAAAATGACATGTTACAAGAAATACTTGAATTATCAAAAGATGTATATTTGAATTTCACGATCAATTTAAAAAGTTTAAAATTCATCGCATTATAAAACGAAGCAAAAGAATTTGATAGTCATTTGAAACATGTTCGACCAAAATCATTCCATCCAAACGGGCCTCGAAGAATTTACTTAAGAACGGATTAATAGATTTTTAGGTGAAAATAAATGTGGTTAGCAATTTAATTTACAAATTAATAAAAAAAGAGTTAGTAAATAATAGGATTTGGTAGTCCAAATGCAATAGGTGGGACGGGACACCTACCTTTGATGGCATACATCACACACTTATCTCTATTTAGTTACATATATATATTTATATATATATATATATTATGTTTTAATATTATTTATTAATAATATGTTTTAAAAAAATATAGATTAATTAAAATTTTATTTTATTTCACGAGACATTGCATCGAATAATATTATTACACTCAAAGCTTCAATTCTATACTATATACTATTTATATATTACACTCACTAATAAATTAATCATTTAATTAATTAATTAATTAATTACATGGGAACTGATGAGTGTATGGTTTAGTTGTTTGGATTGATCATCTTCCATTACCCAAATCATAACAAACACACACAGATACATACATACATATATATATATATATATCTCCCCTTTATTAAATTGTTTTTATTTTTCTCAAATTTAAATATATTGTTAAAATAATACTATTATATTTAATACTCCCTCTGTCCTAGATATTTTGGGCTTATTACTGTAGATATAAGAATTTAGGTAAAATATAATTAGTAGGTAATTAACAAGTATATTAGTAAAAATAATTATTATTTAGTAAAAATAATTATAGATTAAGATAACTAAATAGTTTAATTAAAATTTTAAAAAAAATCTAAAATTTAAAATTTAAAATATGATTAAAGTGCATAATTATATTTCCAAAAATAAAAATGACAAATTATGTGGGACGAACGAAAATAAAAAATATTAACATATTATTTGGGATGGAG